TTGTGGGATGCTTCCCAAAGAACTTCAGGCTGAACTTGAAGGAGGAGAAAGGGGTTTTCCAGGGAGCTTGAGAGTTGTGGGGAAAAAACATGAAGAAACATCTTTCAGGAGAGGGAACAGCATGTGCGAGGCCCAGAGTAGAAAAGAGCATATGGATAGTATGAGGAGTGAAGGGTGTTGGGGATATTGAGGACAGTGAAGGTGAGGCTTCATGCATTTGAATCTCACTCCCCAGGCTTGGAGGCCAGGCTCTGTGTGGTTAAGTGGTTGATGCAAGTGGACTTGCCATTAAGATGGGGACCATCCTTCTGAGTAATGGTTGTATCTGGCACAAGGGGTTGAAGGGGTGCTTCTCCACTGTCTTCTCTCCAGAACCACATTCCTGGGACCTTCCTGGTACCCAGCCCCATCCTCTGGCTCCCACATGCTGCCCCTCAATAGCCCTGGTCCTAACCCCGGCCTGGCTCCCTCCATGGCTGAGGGAGAATCTGTGACGAAAGGGTTCACATGTCTAGGCCTTGCTCTCTTGGCTGCTTCTTGGCCAAGCCTCAGCCCTTGTCAAAGCTCACGTACTTCCTAGATGCACGCGCATGGCCTTTGATGCCCCACTCCCTGTTTAAGGAGCTGAGATTCCCTTTGGGTGTGCTGGGGCCCCGGTCTGCCTCTAAACTACCTGTGTCCAGGGTGGGCATGATGCCTCTTCCTATTGGCACTCCTTGATTTTCCTCTACATTGGTTGGTTATCACTCTGTTCTGCATAATATATTTTAATGAGTTGCTATTCTGCTGGACGTGGACCCAAAGGACTTTTTATCCTGAAGGGCCCCATCCTGAAAACCTTAATAAATCATTCACTATTCAAAACAGGCCTGCTGGTTGGACAAGGAGGGGTCGCTCCTCGCTGACTCATCGCCAAAGGAAACTTCTTTCTTGGAGTCAACCAGGCTGGCACCTTTTATTCTGCATGGTTGGGCCATCTGTCCTGACCTCTAAATAAGCGAAATTTCCCCACTAGACATTAGTAAGAGAAGTAGGGGTCCTTCATCTCAGAGTCCAAAGTGCTGGCCACTGGGGTCAGGGTTTCTCAAGATATCATCCACCTATGTGAGCCCCAGAGCCTTGGGAGAGTTAAAATACTGCTTTTTGGCCTCGCCCCAGGCCTATGAGTGAAAATCGTTGAGGGTAGGGCCCCAGCATCTACATTTTTAACAACCCCTGGAGCAGATTCCTATGAACATCAAAATTGGAAAACAACCACCCTAAACCCAGGTCACCTCTTGCATCCCATCGTTCTTCCATTCTCTTTGCAGTGTGCAGGATGCACACATCTCTCCTTCCCTGCATCCTGCCCATATTGTGCTTCTAGCACCACGCACACCTCCATGGCTTGCTGGAGGGAGCCTAAGGAGTAGGTCCACGTCCAAGTCAGCTGGGGATTTTCCTCAGAGCTTTCCAAAAGCATGACTCGCACATCTGGATTACGGCCGCCGTGGAAGAAGGGCCTCTTGGTGCAATCAGGCTCAGTGTTGAGGGTGGAGCTGGGGTTTGGAGCAGCTGCTGGGGGAGCCAGGAGACATATTCAGACAAAGCAAGTGGGGCCTTGAAGGGACTGTGGGCTTCTCAGCTTCCCTAGAGAAGCGGCCAGGGAGACGGCCCACGAGACAGGATGTTCTGGCCGGCCCGCTCGTGGGGCTGCGAGCTCCCCGCTCTGGGCTGCTTGCAACCTGTGTTGCCCTTGCCGGCTGTCCTTCTGCTCAATTTTCACCCATGCGGGTACCCCTGGCCCCGATCGGGCAGGTTCCTCCTCTGTCCCCTGCTCCCTGCCGCACTGGGCGTCCAATGCGCTCTCACCCGAGAGGATTTGGCTGAGTTGGCCATGCCCCTGGAGTCTGCTGGAACTGAGTTGGATCTCATGGCCCCTCGGCTTGAGAGCCTCGAAATCATCTCCCCCCACCCTCTCCTCTGGCTCTGTTTTCCTCCTCCTCCTTGCTCTGCCTGCCTCTCTCTTTTGCCCTTCCGGCCTTAATAGATTGAAACCGACGTTGTGTTCCAGCTTCTTGTGGTCCTGCTAAGTAGCACTTAATGTGGCCGCAGTGGCCCGGCAGAAGGGAAGGACGAGCATGTGTGTGTGGGGGGTGCGCTTCATCTCCGACGGGAGGAACAGGGGTACCTGCCACGCTGGGGTCACTCCAACGCACTGGGCTCTCAGAGGAGCCCTCCCGGGGGCTAGACAGACCCGGGATGGGCCTGGGTGTCCTCACGGTCCCCCCTTGATGGGAAAAGGAAGGCCAGTGAAGGTGCAGGACAGCCCGGAGCATGGGGCCAGCACTTGGAGTCAGGAGCAGTGGGCTCCTCCTTGGAGGACAGCAGTAGACATTTCCATTTGTATTGTGTGAAAAAGATTTAGTTAAACAATCTACACTTCTTCGATTTTCTTGCTCAGCCTTGGCGGCCTGGCAGTTACTGTTCCTGATGTTGCTGCAAACAGTGGTCCGTGCGGGGGTAAATACCATGGCAGAATAGGTTTAATATCGACGTTGTCAGAATCAGTGAAGGGGCCAAAAGGGGCAAGATGTCAGGTGCTGGTAATCAGTATGAATTCTTCCTCCCTGCCTCCCTCGGGGGATATGCTTTTGTAGCTCTCTTGCTAAAAGCTCTTCTTTTATGAACCCAAGTGAGATGCGGGGGTGCGTCTACTTTCTCCCTGAAGGAGAGAATACTTCTTGGTTTACGCTGATTTGTACCCAGAGGTTCTCATTGCCCCTAAGTGTAAATGGGGAGCCTGTTGGACACTCCACCCTTTGCTTTGCTGTTCCCCCCACTTCCCAGACCACATGAGCATGAACTTGGGAGGTTAGGGGGTGCAGGGGATGGAGGAGCTCCCTGGCCTCACAGCGTGAGCTTCGGAGTGGCGCCAGGGCCCAGGAGTGGGCCTGCCTTCTCTGGGGCCAGCCGCTTTCCAGGCACAGTGGGAAGGAAGGACAGCCCTTCAGCCTCCCACTGACTGGTCTAAGGGGCCCCCCTCATGGGAATCACCCCCAGAAATCTGAGTGGAGGAGAGCTCTTGTCTTCGACGCTTTCCCCCTATGGAAGCCACCATCTGGGGTCTCTTTTTTTGTGTAGCAAGGAGCCCAGTTCTTTGGAAGGACACAGCATGAGGGGCAGCCTCTCTCCTTCAGTAGCTTCGACACCTTCAGGGGCAACGACAGGCCATTTGGAAGAGGCAGGCATGCCTGCGCCTGCATCTCAGCAGCCATTGGGGGCCCCAGCACAAGGAACAGATTGCTGGAGATTCAGACCTCTCTCCAATTCAGACCAACCCCATCCCTGGGAGCCCGTGGCTGCGGCCACACTCTGGCCCAGTATCACTTGGGACCTGCTGCTGGCCAAGGTCCCAAAGCCCCAGGGAAAACTGGGGACAGAGAGATGGTTCTGGAGAGTTAAGTGAATGGGCAGAGCATCCAGCCCCCGGGGGGTGTGTATGGACGATGTGCCTCATTAGGCCTCGCTGTGCTCGCTCCCCGTGACATCATTTGGTCGGCCTGTGGTTTGTGTGTGTGTATGTTGATCAGGATGTTCCTGTTTTGTGGTTGTCTGATCACTTGTTTTTGGCTGTGGGCTTCTGTATGAGTGTTTATTTTTAGAGGCTGCCACTTCTGGCCTGAGGGCTGATCCTTGGACATGGTAGGAGCTTGTATTTTTTGAAATGATTGTGGCTTTAGATTTAAGTATTTTTATTTTGGGGTTATTGTTGCCTTTTATGTGTTTCATTTATTCTCTCTGTGTGTGTGATATGAGAGACAGTGTGAAATAATAAAAATTGAATGGTTTTTGAAGTTCTGATTTTAAATTAGTTTTGCTTTTAATTTAGTTTTATTTTAATTAAATCTTAAATTAGTTCTGATTTTAAATCTAGCTTTACCAGATACTGTGTATCTGCAGATAAATGGTTTCACTTCTGTGAACCTCACTTTTTCCCATCCTTAAAGTATAATACTCCCTGACTCGCAGGATTAGAAATAATGTGTATGTAAAGTGCCTTGCAAGGTGTTTGGTGCCTCGGGGGCCCCTATCTAGTGGACCCCAAGAGTGTATCAGGGTGTTTGATTTGGGTGAATTCTGGGTGTTTGACTTGGGTGATTATTAGTTGGCGTGTGTGTCTCTGGACGTCTTTGTGTCTGGTTTTCCTGTGTGTGAATGGTGGGTGTGTGTGACTCTTGGTGTCTGGCTGGAGTCTGTGCAGTATTTGGGAGGGGGCTTTCTTTTCTTGCCAACTGGGGGCCTGCCTTGGAGTGAAGGGAGGGGAGGGGCTTCTGTATATGTGTGTGTGTCGGGGCTTGAAGCTGGGCTGCTGACTGTACAGGGTGTGAAATCACTGAGTCCCTCTGGGTGGGGAAGTTCTTCGTTCCTGAGTCAGCCCTCTGGCCCTGAGCCATCCAGTGCTCACTCTTTCCTTTCAGAGAAAGTATTGCTCATGGGGTCCCCAGACAAAATGACACAGGGGACACCCCTCCCTGATGAGAGCATCTCCTTTTGTGTTCTGGATCCCTAAGATGCTTCCCCTGCCCCCCTGGTCTCTGGATCCTCTTTCCAGAATTCCACGAGCCCAGCGTTCCGAGGGAAAGCATGTCCCCTCTGACACGGGGACTGCTGGCTTTGCTGAACCCCATCTTGACCCAGTACTTTCAGGTCCTTGGGAAGCTGGTGAAATGCCAGGGCCAGCCTTTGGACAGGGCATCTTGCTCCCAGACCCCCCTCCCCGCCCGCTTAGGCTGCACTGCCTCGCCCTGAGAGCTGGGTGTTGGGGCCCAAAAGCCTGGGCTAGGGGTCCTTTTGTCCTCCTCCCCCACACCCCCTGACCTCAGCTCTGTCTTGAGTGGTGCGGGGAGATTTTGAGATCCAGGGAATGGAAGCTTTTCACTCCGTCTGGGAGAGGCGAGGGTGTCCTTGCCTCCCACTGACGTCTGCTGTCTGTTGTTTGCTCTCCGGCTCTCTTGCAGAGGTGGTGGGTCACACTCAGGGACCTCTGGACGGGAGCCTGTATGCCAAGGTGAAGAAGAAGGACTCCCTGCACGGCAGCACTGGGGCTGTCAACGCCGTGCGCCCCGCCCTGTCGGCCACCCCCAACCACGTGGAGCACACCCTCTCCGTGAGCAGCGACTCAGGCAACTCCACAGCCTCCACCAAGACAGACAAGACCGACGAGCCTGCCCCCGGGCCCTCCAGTGCCCCTGCTGCCCTGAGTCCCGAGGAGAAGCGCGAGCTGGACCGCCTGCTCAGTGGCTTTGGTGTCGAGAGAGAGAAGTCAGGGCCCATGTACCGCACCCAGCATCTCCGGTCCCGCCCCGTGGGGGGCCCGGCCGTGCCCTCCTCTGGCCGCCATGTCGTCCCAGCCCAGGTTCATGTCAACGGCGGGGCCTTGGCATCTGAGCGGGAGACGGACATCCTGGATGATGAGTTGCCCAACCAGGACGGGCACAGCGTGGGCAGCATGGGCACACTGTCCTCCCTGGACGGGGTCACCAACACCAGTGAGGGAGGCTACCCAGCGGCCCTGTCCTCACTGACCAACGGGCTGGACAAGCCCTACCCCGTGGAACCGATGGTCAATGGCGGGGGCTACCCCTACGAGTCTGCCGGCCGGGTGACGCCTGCCCATGCCGGCCACACGGCCCCCATGCGGTCCTCCTACTCCGCACAGGAGGGTTTAGCCGGCTACCAGCGGGAGGGGCCCCACCCAGCCTGGCAGCAGCCAATGACCGCCTCCCACTATGGCCTTGACCCCAGTGGTATGTTCCGCTCCCAGTCCTTTCCGGAGAGTGAGCCCCAGCTGCCCCCAGCTCCAGCCCGTGGGGGCAGCAGCCGGGAGGCTGTGCAGAGGGGCCTGAATTCCTGGCAGCAACAGCAACCTCGTCCGCCCCCTCGCCAGCAGGAGAGAGCCCACCTGGAGAGTCTCGGGCCCAGCAGGCCCAGCCCCCAGCCACTGGCCGAGACCCCCACCCCCAGCCTCCCTGAGTTCCCAAGCGCAGCCTCCCAGCAGGAGATCGAGCAGTCCATCGAAGCACTCAACATGCTGATGCTGGATCTGGAGCCGGCCGCAGCTGCTACCCCCCTGCACAAGTCCCAGAGTGTCCCGGGGGCCTGGCCAGGGGCTTCCCCGCTGTCCTCCCAGCCTCTCTCCGGCTCCGCCTGCCAGCCCCATCCACTGACCCAGTCCAGGTCTGGCTACATCCCCAGTGGGCATTCCTTGGGAACCCCTGAGCCGGCCCCGCGGGCCTCCCTGGCCCTGGAGTCCTTCCCTTCTGGCAGGCCTTACTCCCCTTATGATTATCAGCCATGTCCTGCTGGGTCCAGCCAGAGTTTCCGTCCAAAGAGCCCAGCCTCGTCCTCCTCGTCTGCCTTCCTTCCAACCACCCATAGCCCTCCAGGGCCTCAGCAGCCCCCAGCCTCTCTCCCTGGCCTCACTGCTCAGCCTCAACTCCCACCAAAGGAGGCAACTTCAGACCCATCCCACACTCCAGAGGAGGAGCCACTGAACCTGGAGGGGCTGGTGGCCCACCGGGTAGCAGGTAAGAGCCTCAGGGACCATCAGTCCTGGGAATCCCCTCCTACTCCCTCCATGCCTTCCCTCTTTGGTCTTGGTTGGTCTTGTTGGGGGGAGGTGCAGGGGCAGCCATCACCCCTTGGCAGGCACTGCTTTGACCTGAGGAAGAGGCTGTCAGGAGCCCACACGCTAGCCATCCCTCCCTGCATTCACTGTCTGTTAGGCTCTAAGGCAGGCATGGAGATTCAAAGATCAATGTCTTTCGGTTCCTGCCTTCAAGGAGCTTACAGTATAGTGAAGGGACAGGTAGACAGGAGTGTAAGGTGTGCTCTGACAGGGGTGGGGGCCAAAGCCCCAGAGCTGGAGGGAAAGCAAGGCTTACCACCTAGAGCAATCAGGGAAAGCTTCCTGGAAGTGGTGACTTTGGGGCTGGAGTACAGATTTTCTAGGCAGAGAGAAGATGCTCTCTGCAACTGCCTGCATCCTCAGACTTCAGTTCCTGGGGGAAGGTGTGGAGAAGGCTGGAGGGAGGCTTCTGTAGACCCAGTTTCCCCCTTGGGCCCTCCCAGAGGCATAACAGAGAAGGGAGGGTGTCCTTAAGGCCGGGGCTCTACCTGAGTGCTCAACCCTGGTGGGTCCCCTCCGGGTAGGTCTCATTTTGGTGGGGAGGCCAAGGTTCCCCTTCTCATTCAGCTGTCCTGTTAGTCCTTGCTTTCGGACCCGCTGTGGATGAGAAGCAGGCACTGAGAAACAAAGCTCCATTTCGTATCAGAGAATGGGCTTATGTTTCTGGAGGGAGGATAGGGAATGTGGTGACCAGAGAGCTTATTGGGGAGATCAAGGCAAGAAATGGCAGAGTGTGCAGGGCCATGTTGGGAGGGACAGGAAGGGCTCCCTTCCTTCTTATGGGCCTAAGCCCATGACCATTCCATGGGGGCAGCCACACTCGGTGAGAAATCCTGTGGGTTTGTTTAACTGTGGAGGTGAGGCCAGGCAGGGGTGGACTAGAGACGGGGGCTAGGGGACCTTGTGCCAAGCCCCTCAGCGGACAGGGTGGTGGGAGCTTAGGGAGGAGAAGAGGAGCCTGGGCAGCTGACTCTGCCCTCCACCCCTCTCCCTAAATGTAAGGGAAGCTGAGACACCATAGCAGCTGCAGGGAGAGAGGGAGACCCCTACATGGGGATGGATGGTAGGTTTGGGGAAGCAGCTGAGGGCAGGCTGGCTGGCTATTAGGCTGGGTCCAGGACCGGGGTGTGGGGGCAGGGATGCCCTGCTGTGCTTCAGAGCAGAGCACGGTCCCGAGTTCCACTCTGAGTAACTTCAAATTGGCCATGAGGAAAGTATTTATGCCATGGAAATTGGCCGTCAGGGATTCACTTCGCCTGGAGAGCTGGTCTAGGAGCACATCATTGCTTTTAGCTGAGAGTCAAAACACAGGATGAGTAGCTCTATAACTCTAGAGGTGCTCTGAGTAGCTCTATAACATGAGGTGGGGTGGTCCACATGGGGCTGCCATCTTCTTTTTCCCACCTCTGGGCTCCTGAGAGAAGGACCACTGGCTTCTTTGTCAGAGATTTTGTTAAAGGGAGAGAAGTGGGGCTCTCTTAATATTTTACAGAGATGAGGTGGCCTGAGGAATAGTAACACTCTAACCTAATGATGAGCAGATTCTCTGGGGAAGCAGAGTGAATTTCCTCTCCCCTACCAGAAACCCCTCTGTATAGCTCTCCTGGAGCTTGCTCTAAAGGAAGCCATACCTTAATGGCTCCAGAAGGATGTCCATCTTGTAGTGCATCTCCCCTCAGCCTTTTCTCTCTTACCAGCTTCTGAAGTCTTGACTGTCAATATCCATATCCTTAGCTGCCCAGGCTTTGGCTGCCAAGGAGTCATAGGGAGGGAGGGATGTTGGTACAATGTCTCTGTCCCCAACCCTGCTATTGTCTTCTCCACCAACTGTGAGTGACTCAGTCAGGAGAAGGGATGAGATGTATAGAGGGGACAGATATATTTGGTCCCCAGGGCTATAGAGGGGACTCCTTGGTCCATGCCCTGTCATGAAAGTATTTATGTCAGCACAAATTCCTCAGTGGCCCTGCAGAGTGTCTGCAGTGCTTGTGTAAGTAAAGGTGCAAAGGCAGGATCATTGTGTACAACAGTCTGGGAGTCAGGGAATAGGCCAGTACCACTTCTTCCTGCTTCTTCTATGTTCTTCTGCAAGAAGCTGGAACGTAAGCTTCAGTATGAGTAACCCAGGAAGCTCAGCTCTGAGGGAGAGCCTCTTTGTGGCCATGAACTTGATCTGGTTTCTCCTGGCTTTTCTCCTGCAGTTCTGCCTTTTCTTCTTTGGCTCAATACCTCCTCCATACCTCAATACTATATCCCTGGCTCATTCCATTTTGATCCAACAACTCCTTATGTCTTATTTCAGCTTAGATCTCAGAGAATATAGGGATAGTTTTCTTAACTTGAGAAAGGGTAGGTACCAGGAACCTGTAGCATACATAACACTTTCTTGTGAAACATTAGAAGCATTCCTGGTACACCAGGGACAAAATAAATATGCCTGTTATCGCCACTGTCACTTGTATTAGATATCTTAGCCAGTGCAGTAAGACAAGAAAAAGAAATAGGAGTCAGAGTTGTTGAGTCCATGTTATCTTATGATCCTGATTCTGTGACTGGACTGATCTCAGATGTCTCTAGAGGTAGAGGTTTCAATGCATGTTGGAGATCAGATGCGCATCTTATCTTTAAGGAGTCTAGAGTTTAGTAAGGGGAGAAAGAACTGGAACTTTAAAATGAAGTCATTCCTAATGAGTGAGATATGGAGAAACTTCTGTGGGAGTGAAGAAAAAGGAAAGATCAGTGTCAGCTGAAGAGACGGAGGAGTGTGTTGAGTGTGGGTTTTAAATAGAGCCTTGGGAGAGGAATAGGAGTTTGAAAGTGGGTGGGGTCATTGGAGAGACAGGATTCTTAGTGAAGACAGGAAAGCATAAGTGTTTGAAGAATATAGTAGATTGAGAGCATATAGGCAGTGGCCTGGGACCTGCCTCTGGTTGGTGTTAAAATATCAGACTAAGGAGCTTGAATCTTATCTAGTGGCAATGTAGGAAGCCATGGCCATGTTTCAGTTGGGAGTATGCCATGATCAGATCTGTAATTTAGGAAGATGTATCTGGTGGATCTGGGCAGGGAGGAGGCAAAATAGGAGAGAGTTTGAATCGGGACATGTAGTTGTTTATTAGGTAGACTGGGTCGGGGGGTTGCATTAGGGTGCTGACCATGGATATGAAAAAGAAGAGATGGGTGCCAAGGATACCATGAGAGTAGAACCAGTGCACTTACAAATTGATTGGATGTAGGGGTGAAGGAGAGGAAGACATCAAAGATGACTGTGAGGCTCCATGAATAGGAACAGAATGCTAGTTCCATTAATAAGCCAGGAGTTAGGAGAAGAGGATTTTGTGGAAGATGAAGACATCTGTGTTCTGTATGTTGAGTTTGAGGTGACGGTGGAGCCTGCAGGCAGTAGCGATGTATGGAAAGCAGCTAAACATCTGGAACTGGAGCTTGAAAGAGTGGAAAGAACTGTACGTTTTGGAGTCATCCTCACAAAGACGTGGGTTAAAGCTTTGGCCATGAATGAGATATCTGTATCAGAGGGCATGGAGAGAAAAGAACTTAGGATGAAATGGCCATGAGGTGAACGGAGGGGAAGGGGGCTGAGAAGGAATGTTCAGGACAGTGAGAGAAGACAGGGACAGTGGGTCACCACAGAAGTTAAGACAGAAAAGGGTTTCCAGGAGGAGGGGTGGGGGGGTTCACAATGTCACTGGAGAGATCATGAGGAGGAGGACTGGGAAAAATTCACTGGGCTTGCCAATTAGGTGGCCCCGGGAATTTTCAAAGACATACTTTCCGTAGAGTGGTGGTGACGGAAAGCAGACTGCAGGATTGAGGAGTGAGTGCAGGGAGGCAGCGCAGACAGGATATCAACTCTTCTTTTGAGTGGTTATATGATAAAAGGGAAGAGGATGGTAGCTAAAGAGTGTAGCAAGATATGGAGAGGCTTTTTTTTTTTTTTTTGTAAATATAGGAGCCATGAGAATGTTTTTAGAGGAGGAGGAGCAGAGGTTGAATATGGAGGGAATAGAAAGAAGAAAAAGATGGAAGAGAAAGAAAGAAGTTGCTAGAATAAGACCAGTAAGGAAGGAAGAGGGGCTCTAGGCCTAGGAGCCCAGGTGGATGATTTAAGCTCAGTGAGGAGGTGGGATACCTCCTTGTGAAGTAAGAGTAGAGGAAGAATACAGATATAGGGAAATACCTGTATCAAGCTTTGGGACCTCAAATTGAGAACCCAACTTTTACCTTTCATCATGGAAAGAGGAGATGACATCAAAGCCCATTCAGTCATTCATTCGGCATGAATTCCTAGTCTGTGTTAGTCTGGGCTCTGGAAAAATGGCGGTAAACAAAAGAGGTAAAAACTCTTGCCTTCATGGGGGAGATGGACAATAAACAAATAGCAAATACATATATAATATGTCAGATGGGTGATAGGTGCCACAGAGATAAAATAAAGCAGGAGAGTGTCAGTGAGGGATAGAGGGTGGGTGGGTGGTTGCACTTTACATAGGATCAGGGAAGGCTGCCCTGGGCGGTGAGGGAAGGTGCAGATGGAACAGCAAGTGCAAAGGCCCTGAGGTCGGGCTGTGCCTGATGTGAGGCTTGTAGTGGGGCACAGAGTCAAGGAGGTGATGGGCCTGGGGGCCAGCTTGCAGGGGGCCTTGTAGGTGCTTCTGAGAACTTTGGCTTTTACTCTGTGTGCTGTGTGCACAGTAGTGACATCATCTGACTTGTTCTAAAAGGGTCAGTGTGGCCAGGATGGAAGGGAGAGAGACCGGTGAGGAGACTGCTGCTGTTGATCAGAGTGGGGGCTGTGGAGATGGTGACAAGTGCTTAGATTGTACACAGTTTGGGAGGTGGAGCCATCAAGGCTAGAGGTGGGATATGAACAAGAAAAGTCAAGGGCAACTCTAGGGTTCTTGGCCTGAGCAACTAAAGGGTGGAGTCGCTCTTTACTGAGATGGGTAAGCGTGTGGGAAGAGCAGACTTGGAGGGAATGTCCGAAGCGTGATTTTGGCCATGAGAGATTTGAGAGGCTCTTGAAACCTCCACGGGGAGAGGTTGGAGCTTAGGAACATGGGCATTACGATGCCAGTGCATGAGGTTGCCTGTGTACGGTGTCATGTGAAGTGTGGCATGCGTAATGGCACCTGGGAGGGGGCACACGTAGAAAAGAGGTCCCAGAGCTGAGTCCCAGAGCCTCCCACATGTGGCAGTTGGAGGCACGAGGGGGAAGTGGCCAAGAAGCTGATGTGGAGTAGCTCGTGAAGCAGGGAGTAGGGGAAGGAGCGGGGTTTCCCCGTGCGGCCCTTGTGGGGTCAGGGAGTCAGCGAGGGTGGGTAAAAGGAGGACATAGCAAGTCCTTATAGTGCATCCAGGTGGGCTCATTTTAAGGGCTTTTGGGTGGTGCCCAGCAGCTTTGGGCCGGAGTAGAAATGGAAGGGACTCCGGGGAAGAGGGTTGCTAAGGTGGGGGTGAGGGAAGGATGAAGGGCAGGGGGGTGCTAGGATGCTAGGGACTGTGGCCCTTGGACTCAGGCTGGGAGGGTCACAGCTGGGGCCAGGAAGAGGCAGGTGACCACAGGAGGAGAGAGGTCCCAGGATGGGGCCATGCTGACTGTGAGGGCAGGTGAGTTGTGGGGCAATAGGACTGCAATCTCCTGGTCCTGGGCCGTCACCTGCTTGCCCCATGCTGGGGTTAGAAAATCGAGAGATGTGGCGTCCTGTGGGACAGCAAGAGGTCCACCTGCCCACTGGAGAAGCAAGACCCTGGATGCACCCTCTCTTCTTGTCTGACACCCTCCCACCTCCCTCCAAGCGTGTGGCCCGATCCCAGACTCAGAACAACTAATCTTGATTTTCTCTTTGTTTTTGTTTTGTTTCGTCTTGTTTGATGCCTCGTCCCTTGCGTCCTCTGTGTGTCCTGTGTCCATCTGTCCCCTGTGACGCGGGTGTGGTGCCTTCCTTGCCTGGTGTCATCCCCTCCCCCCTGCCTTCCCTTCCTGCTTGCCCCTCTTCCTGCCGGTTCCCCGGGGTGGGGGTGGGCAGCGTACAATGCCAAGCTGCAGGGCATGGGGCACACCAGCTTTCGGCTGCCTCCTCTCCACCGGCTCCGATCTTCCTCCCTCTCTGGTTGGTTCCCCTCCCCACGTTCCCCCTTATAAGTCTCTGACCCTCACTGTAGCTCTCAGCTTCTCTTCCCTCTTTCTCATGGACCACTTCTTCCAACCTTTGCCCGCTCTCGTCCTTGTTCATTTTTTCCATCCCCCTTTACCTTTTTTTCCTCCCCCTTCTATCTTCTTCTTTCCATCTCTTCCTGTTCTCTTCACCCCCTCCTCCTTTCCTTACTGGCCCTCGCACCCACTTCTCTCTCCTGCTCTCTCTAAACCCTCTTCCCCTCCTTTCTGCATGAGCGAGTGCTCCCACTTCTGCATGGACACAGGCCTGATGCTTTTGGCTTTGGCCTTACTGATAGGAACACGGTCTGGGGTGACTAGATGAACTTTCAGGCTCCCCATGGACACAGGCCTTTGCAGTGAGTGTGCTCGGTGAGGGCGGGGACAGCCCGCTCTCCAGCCACCCTGGCCAGACCACCCTGGCCAGACCGCCCAGGCTGCTGGGCCAGGGTCTCAGCAGGAGCCAGGCTGTGCTTTGCATGGGCCACCAGGTTCATGACAAAGAGTGGTGTCCAACACCTGCTGCCCTGTCCACTCTTGAGTGCGGTACTCTCTGGGGACATGGCACCCCCTCTGACCTCATCCCGAATCTCTGATCCTAGGACCCATGGCCAAGAGTCAGAAGCCCTGGGCATGGTCCTGGCTCTGCCTGTGACCCCCTATGTGACCCTGGGCAAGTCTTTTGATTACTCAGAGCTCAATTTCCTAACGTGAAAAAGGGAGACGTCATAGCCCTGCCACGTGTATTTTGCGTGGTGGCTTGACGTGCCCCAATATGGTGGACCCTTCATCATGGGTCCCCTTGCTCTCTTTGAGGATGATGCCCACTAACGTCTGCCCATAGGCTGTCAGCTCTGGGGAGGGTGTTGCCTCATCGTTTTCCCTGCGCCTCTGAGCCTGGAGGCCCAGGTGAGGGAGAAGGTTGTGCTCAGGCTTGCCCCACGCCATGGCCCTGAGCAGTTCGGGGACAGGTGTAGGGGATAGTGGGGATTGTTGACTCCTCATGGCAGTATCTGGTGTTTGCACAGACCCTCCTCTTCCCAGTCCATGGGAACTGGAGAGATGGCTCTAGCAGAATGCCCCTGTCTACCTTCTCTCCCTCCCTTCACCCTTTCTCGGCCCAGTGGTGGGGAGTGCAGTGTTCATTTGGACCTGGGGGGCTGGGGCAGGTCTGGGGCGGCGGGCCTGTCCCGAGGGGAGCTGGCATGGCTTGCCCTGGGGCTGCTAGTGTGATCTCCGTGTGGCTTTCTGGTGCCCTGGCCTAGCAGGTGGCCTCCCGGAGAACCTGGCTTTTGGAGCCCCAGGCATGCTGTCGGACACCCAACCCCGTCGCCTGGAGCTGAGGAATCCAGGCTTTTGGAAATCGGAAGGCTGGAAAGAAGAGCTGGGTCTGTGGGGGTGGACACGGCCAGTCTGGGGAGGGGGTGGGGAGGCGTGTGATGAAGCCTGACACCTGGGCGTTTATCCAGGGGACTTGGGTGGTGGGCACCTGTGCTCTGCCCAAGTGGGTGCATTGATGTATGCTGGGGCTGCAACCCCCAGAAGTGCGGTGTGTGTGTGTGTGTGTGTGTGTGTGTTAGGTGAAGGGGATTCATTGCCTTAGGTCCAGTGCACTTCAGGGGAGCCTTGAAACCAGCTGTTCCCTCAAACACAGCACCATCCTGGGGAATGCAGTGAGGACCCACAGGAAATGGGGCTGTTTGGCACCCTGCTCTTCAGATCTCACAGTCTGTGTACAGGCCCTGGGCTGGGGTGACTGCCGTCCTCCAGGCGGTGGGGAAGGCCCAGTGCCTAAGTGTGTGAGCAGCCTTCAGAGGACACAAAGTGCTTCTGAATGTTATTATCCAAAAGGCCACTTCCTTGCCATGAGGGCGTCCCCCTCCTCATGCTCCTGGGGCTAGAAGGAAGACATTCCAGAGGCCCTCAACCCCACTCTTTCCACCTTTCTTCACGAGCTTCCTCCAGCCCCGCGGTCTCCTGCTGGGGTAGAGGTTCTGAGGGCGACCCGGACCCACCGCCATTCCTGCGGGTGAAGGCTCTGTGTGTGTGTGTGTGTGTGTGTGTGTGTATGTGTCCATGTATGCGTGTGTGTGTGCATGCATGCGTGCAGGGAGTGGACCACATGGACACAGGGGCCTCGACAGAGACAGGGAAACGGGCCAAGAGACCGAGAAAGTCCTGGGGTTGAGGGTGGTGGTGGTGGGGAGGTGGGTGGCCGGGAGTAAGCCTATTTTTACGATCGGTCAGTCTCTGGGACATGAGGGAGGGGTGTTCTCTCTCTCTGACACTGGCTGTTAGCTTGTGTCCAGCCATCCCAGCTTGGCCGAGGAACAATAGGGCTCTCTTCCCTGCCCACCCCCGCCCCGGCCATGCCCTGTCTCCCCTCCCGTAGAGAAGGACAAGGGAGATGGAACATGGCTCTCCAGCACTCTGGGGCATATCTGGGCCTGCCAAAGGGGACAACAGTGATATACTGTGTTCAAAGAATGTGAGAGGCTCTGACTGGCCACTGGTGCCATGGGGCCCACTGTGGGGGGAGAGGCTGTCTCCATGGGAGTGGAATGTGGGGTCTTCCCCCTTCTGCTGAGTCTAGCTCTTTGGGGGTCATCCTGTCCGTCCTCCTGCCTCAGGACTTGAGGAGGTGTGATCATTCTCAGATGGCTGACTGGGCTAGGATCTTGCATCCTCTGCCGTGGGAAGCCCCTCTTGAGCGGTCCGGCCCCTTCTCTGGGCGGCTGCAACCGTCTGCAGCACCTGAACATGGAGGATGCTTTTGGGCACGCCGGGGAGCATTTTCTCTGTCCCTCTGGGAGATTTAGGGCCTTGAATTGAAACAGACCCACTTTTCAAGGGCAGACATCAGATCCCCAACCAGGGAAACTGGCCACCCCTGGCAAAGGCACAGGGCTCTGCCAGAAAGAGGCTGCGGGGCTGGGTGAGCCGGAACTGAAACCAGCCCTAATGCATTTCTTTTAACCTTGGAGCTGAACTTAGTTCCAAACCCCAAGAGCCTTTCCCAAATGGGCCTCCTTTGTCACAATTATTATTAGAAAATCAATGGCTATGTCTGTTTCTTTCTAATGTTTTTGCCAGGAATGAAATGCGCGGCAGCTCTGAACCAGGCTGCCCAGGAGGCCTGGGGAGGAAGGGGCTCGGTGGAGGTGGGAGAAGCGGGTGAAGGCAGGAAGCCCCTGCAGGCGTGGCGTGGTGCTTGGGGGCTGCCGCCTCTCTGACGGCTGGGAGCCTGGGGTGGCCGCACCCTGGGGTCCTGGGCACTGCTCAGCCCGGGGAGAGCCTGCCTGCGTCTTTAGTCCGGGTTGATGGTGGTAACAGACCCTTGTTAGGACTATGTGACCCCCATTTTTCTATTTGGAAAATAAGGGCACTTTAAGGGGAGGGCTTATTTGCTTTAAGTCAAGCAGTTTGTGAGTCTGGTTCAGTGTCCCCATCCAGGGTTCTTTTCTCTTGGTTGAGATAGCAGGCAGGCTGCCTCTGGGTCAGAGAGAGCCCTAAGTGGAGGCTCGAAACCGCACCCCACCTGGGTCCCTCTGCCTTTGTAAAAGCTACACTAGTCCTGCTGCTGTCCGGATGGGGTCCCCGGTTACGCGATCGGATGAGTGCGTGTCGGAGTGCCTGTGTGTGTGTGTGTGTGTGAGCGTGAGACAGTGTGTGTCCGTCCCTAGTTTGGCATCGGCAGCCTACTGTTCATGACAAGTTAGGAAAGCTTCCCAGCATGTGATTTTCACAGCAGCCTTAGTGGCTGTACCAGGCCGGAGCGGGGGTGGGGGGCGGCACGCGGACCTCACCGTGGAGGGCAGATGATTCCGTCTGGAGGAGGGCTGCACCAGCACATCCCGAGGGGACCAGTGGTGTGCGCACGTGCATGCGTCTCTGGGTGCAGTGTGCCACGGGACCGTGTTCCCAGATGTGTCGGCACGAGACCGGCACGGCTGGGGGCCCCCGTGCCCTGTGGTATGTCCCAGCACTTCCCCTCACTTAACCTGCCCTTCCCGGGGTATGGTGAAGGCAGAGCTGAAAATGTCCTTGCACAAGATTAATGAAGACAAGAAGCCTGTCCTCAGGCTGGGTCTTGGCCTCTGCGACGTGGGGAGTAAGTTTTCTAGGATTCTGGAGCCAGCTCAGTGAGGCAATGGGTTCCGTGCCTCAGCCCAGCTGTGGGAAAACAGAGTGGGAGGGAAGGAGGGCGAGGCTAACAACATGCTTCGGCCTGTGGAATGGAAGGGGATACAGAAAACTAGATGGAGCCCATGACCTCAGGCCCTTTGCCTGCTGATCTGTGGGGAGGGGTGCGGTGGGAAGCTGGACCATCTTTGGGGTGAGACAAGGGGTGGGCAGATGAGGGGCCAGCATAAGGGCAGTTGGTAAGCGTTTTCAGAGGTGCCTGGGATGGAGGTTGGGGAACCCCAGAGAAGGCCAGCAATATTCTAGGGGCCAGCTGGGGCTGGGGACTTCATGACAAGACTTAGTCATTTCTTTGTTCCTTCTCGGGAGCACCATTTGCAAGATGATGCATTATGTGCTCTTTCCAAAGTTCTTCCCCACGGGCCTGATGTTGCTTTTTGGTTGATGCGGTCACCTTGGAGACTGTCTCTCGTCTTTCCACCTTCCCTTCTTTGCCTGGAAGCTCTGGCCCTCTTGTCTGCAGGGTTTGAAAGGAGTTGACATCTGTTTCTCGTATCAGCCCTTTGTGCTTTGGGCCCCAGCCCTGTGCAGGGTAGAGATTCCTGGTGAAGGCCAGCCCCACCTCACAGCAGATCCCCCACCCTGCAGAGAAAGCCTGCAGTGTGGGCAGAGGGAGGCAGTGGGGGAGTCTGGAGGGGAGACAGGCCCAGCTCCAGCGTGGCCCCTGGCTAAGATGCACCGCCTTCTCTGGGGAACTGGGCCTGATCGATCCTTTCTCGCCTAAAATGCTCACTGCCCTCTGTGCCCTGAATTCCTCCCAGGGGTGCAGGCTCGGGAGAAGCAGCCTGCAGAGCCGCCAGCCCCTCTCCGGAGGCGGGCAGCCAGCGATGGACAGTATGAGAACCAGTCTCCAGAACCCGCATCCCCCCGTAGCCCTGGGGTTCGTTCCCCTGTCCAGTGCGTCTCCCCCGAGCTGGCTCTCACCATCGCCCTCAATCCTGGAGGGCGGCCCAAAGAGGTGAGTCCTTGGACTGCATCCTGTGGCCAGAGAGAGTAGTGGAGCCCCCCGAACTATCTGGGAGTCAGATCGCCACCTGCGTGGCCCTGCCCTATCAGGAAACTCGGTCCTCATCCTCTATCTCTTCTCTGGCACATGGAATCTGGCATTTCCCTCCCTAAATAGCTTTTATGCCCCCACCTCTTAGATTAACACTGAGATTGCAGTTCCCTCCTTAATTCTCAAAGAGCCCCGCTTAGTGGGGTGGTAAGGGTCCTGGGTATGACACAGATGACCACAGTCTCTAAACTCCAAGCCAGATCATATAGACTGACAAGAATGGTTTTGAATTCTTTCTAGGTATAGGGTTTTCTTGGCAGATCTAACTTCAGTGCCAAAATGTTTGCATTTCTGAGACCTGTCGGTAGTTGGGAGGCAGTAGATCTTAGACTTCGATGAGTATAAACAACCACTAGGGAGTTTGTTATAAACGTAGATTCCCAAGTCCGCCTCCAGAGATCCCAGCATATTAGATCTGGGATAGGGTCCGGGAATATGCATTTCAAACGTCCATCCTGGAAGATTCTGATATGAGTGACCCATGTCCAATAAAATGCAGGCTAGCGAGTTATTCTAGATATAAATGGCTTTTGGACATCTTTTCTCTCCTGCCTTCTGGCAGGATCCAAGTTCCCCATTGCCAGCCCCTTCTCTTTGGCCCTGTTGGGGAATATTTCCAAGGCAAGTGCTCCTGATTTCCACCCATGCTGGACAGTGGCTTTGCAAATAGCTGCTTTTCATTCGCTCAGTGACAAAGGAGTGGGTGGGGCTGTGAATGGCCAGGATCTCCCTTTGACCTTTGTGTTTCCCCCAAGAGGGGTGGGGGGGCGGGGCTGGCAAGGGGACGTGTGGGCTGGTTACCTGGGAAACCCCTGCTCTTCAGGGTCACGGCCACCAGTGGGCAGCCCCCCCACCTCCTCTTCTTCTCCTGCAGCCCCATCTGCACAGCTACAAGGAGGCCTTTGAGGAGATGGAGGGAACCTCCCCGACCAGCCCACCGCCCAGTGGGGGTAAGAGCTCCTCACTAAGCCTGTCTTCCCTGGGTGCCGGCAAGCTGTGCTCTCAGCCCCGGCCTGAGTAAGCACCCCGGGTTTGGGGGGAGGTCCTGGCAGAGTTGGGCAGGGCCAGGATCTGTCGCTCCTGGTCCAGATGGCTCATTTCACTTCACCATCCCTGCCCTACTCCCCTTCCTTCTGTTGTCCACATGCACACATGTGGGGGTGCAGCAGCTACGGGCTTGGGATCCTACCGACCTTCTGTGGGGCTCCTGGACTCCCAAAGTCTGGAATCTTCCTAATCGTTGAGAGGTTTTGCATCTTGTGTGCAAAACACCACCCCCGCCCCCATCCTAAAGTGACTCTTTGTGACCTGCTGGTGTATCTCTGAGATACCCCTTGGCCTTCTTGCTCCAGACCCCCATTTCTATCTACATCTGGACACCTCTTCCATTTCAGGCAACCTATTTAGTTTCCATCAGGGAAAGAAAGGCCCAGAACGCTCAGCCTGTCAGAGTCCCCAGCTCATCCGTCCTTGGTCTCCAGGCAGGAACATTTAGTCTCTAGCCCCTGAGGCACTCACTGGAGAGGCAAAGCCCTGAAGGGCAGAGGCATTTCCACACAAAGAGAAGACCCGGATGAGTGCAGGGCTGGGGTAGTGTACCTTTTTTTGGTAGAACAGACAGGGGGAGCTGGAAAAGGGCAGCTGTGGGACAGCAGTGATGGAACAGGACTGAGAAGGACTCAGGGTCCCGGTGGCAGGCCCCGGGGCAGCAGAGGAGGGAGAGCCCAGGGAGGGGAGGAGAGTGAGGACTGGAGACCAGAACTGGCGGTATGTTCTCCTGGGGGCTGGCTGTCGTGAGGGAAGAATGTGGCCCCAGAGCCCCGCCCTGTGCAGCAGAACGTGTGTGGGCTGCTGCCTGGGGCATGTGGGGGTCCAAAGCTGGGAGTGGAAACCATGGTTCTCCCCAGGGCAGTGTGGCCCAATGGAAATCCAGCCCAAATCACACTGTGATGGAGCATTTTCTAGTGGCCGCATTGAAAAACATCATAGGAAACTGGAGAAGTAAATTGTAATATTTTTTATTTAACCCCAAATGTCGAAAATATTATCATTTCCATAGGTAGATCAAGATAAAAATATTAATGAGGTATCTTACAATCTTTTTTAAAAAAAATTTTATTTAGATTCAATTAGCCAACATATAGTAGTACGTCATTAGTCTCAGATGTAGTGTTCAATGATTCATCAGTTGCCTATAACACCCAGTGCTCAATCTTTTTTTAAAACTGTAAAAAGAGGCTGGTGAAATTACTTTTAATAGGTTTTTATTGAATTTGAAAGATCTATAGTACTATCATTTCAACATGGAATCCGTATAAAGAGATATGTTGCATTCTTGTTTCATACCAAGTGTTTGAAATCCGGTGTGTGTGTTACACCTAGAGCGCATCTCAGTTCTGATTGGCTCCATGGCAGGTACTCTCATGACTACCATGTTGGACGGTGCGAGCCTGGGGCGGTCTGCTGAAGAGGCAACTCCGTGGCCTTTTTTTAATTTTTAATTTTTTAAAGATTTTATTTATTTATTTGACAGAGAGAGAGAGAGCATAAGCAGGGGGAGTGGCAGAGGGAGAGGGAGAAGCAGAGCCCTCCTGAGCAGAAAGCCGGATGTGGGGCCCGACACCAGGACGCTGAGATCATGACCCGAGCCGAAGGCATTCGCTTAACTAACTGAATCATCCAGGCGCCCCCTCCGTGGCCTTTTGTGACTCCCTGGAATCGCTCTCCCTGCTGGGGGTGGTCTTAAGCGTCCACCTTCACACCTGCTCCGATTGATTCACTGTTGGTCCAGTCAGCCAGGATCTTGGCCATCACCCCGTGTGGGATGGAAGCCACGTGGGCGGAGCTAGGGTTAGATTTTGCCATATGTGTCTGTTCCCATTCTTCTCTGCCTGCCTTTGCCAGCCCTGCTGCCCCAGTGGGGAGAATAAGCAGAGGTTTCATCAATGCACAGGGTTGGGAGAGAAGACAGAGGCGGAGAAATGCGAGGAATCCTGCTCTCGGAAAGCAAAAGCCTTGCTTGGCTTTGGGGCTGCCCACTCGTCTGCCTCAGCAGAAGAGCCAGATGCCTGGTGACGGGGCATGAGGGACTAGGCAGCTGGAGGTGCCGGAGGTGGGACCAGGAGAAACCTCCCGCTGCCTCTTCACCTTGGCTCCCTTCACCTCTCCTTCACCCTGGCTCACTGGCCCATCTGTACCTCTGCTGCCCCGCCTGGACCAACCCACGCACACCCGTGGGCTGGAGATGCTTCGAGGGCATTCCATGGACAGTGGTGGTCTCTGAGGCTGGGCTCCTTCCTCCATAGTTAATTACATTCCAATTCGTTCATTTGACAAACATTAATAAGTGCTTGATAAGGGTCCATTGCAAGACACCATTTTCAGTAATGGGCAGGGGGGCTGGAGGGGGGCAGAAACCGAATCTGTGTGTGTGTGTGTGTGTGTGTGTGTGTGTGTGTGTGTGTGTAAGGAGAGGGAGGGATAGAGACAGGCCAGCCTAGACCTACCTTATTACTGGGCTGTGTGCATTTGCACACATTGGTCCCCTCTGCTGTGTTTGTCCACTGGGCATCTGAGGATGGTGTGAGGATGGAGTCTGCCCCCATCCCGACCCCTGTGATTTCTCACTGTTGCTGTGTGTACTGTTGCATACACCCACATGTGCACAGATAAGTTGTGGATGTTGCTTACACTGAGAGATTGTAGCTTTTTGTTTCCTGCAGGTCTCTGTCTTTTGAGGAAAGGAGGAGGGGTCCGGGGGGGTCCTGGAGCTGCTGTGTGGGGGCCAGGCACCGAGGGCCACACCTGGTCTGTTGGGGCCGTTGGTGTGTGGCGGGCAGGCTTGGGCTCTGGCGGACCTGTGCAGCTGCCTGTCCTCAGGGCCCGTGGCCTCTGCACACTCCCAGTAGCCGTGATAAGCGACACAGAGCTCATTTCTTTGCTTCTTAGAGATGTGTTAGGAGACACAGCAGCTGCCCCCGAGAAATCTCGTGACTGGGCCTGCCAACCACCCTGCAGTCCAGCTCGGAGTCCGGCCACGTCCTTGGCGGATGGGAAAAAGCCGGACAGCCCTTTCTGACCTTGTGTGTTACATGACACCCTAACCCAGCCGGGCGGCTCGGAAGGGCCTTGGGGTGTGCACAGGGAGTTGGTGCTCTTGGCCAAGGATTGTGGAGGTGGAGCTCCTCCCTCTTCCAGGACACCGAGATTTGGGGGGGGGACAGAGAGCCCCACACTGAGAAAGTCTCTCTTCCTGGGGTTTATAAGTGGCATGGTTCGCTGGGGGTCAAAGACCTCTGGTCGAGGGCTGCCCTGGGTCTCAGGGTTGGCACAGCTCCGCCCGTGATCCCTTACTCCTTCCGTCCTTTACGGGATGTGCCATCTTGATTTCCCATTTCCTTTTGTCCTCCCAAGTCCATCCAAGTGCACGGTGTGGAAGGACTGTGTGTGTGTGTCGGGGCGGGAGCGGGAGGATGAGGGAAGAGAGACTACGGTATGGGGGACGTCAGAGATAGCCAAAGAAAGCTGTGTGCATGTTGTGAGCCATGGCGATGCAAGGGGACTGCAGTGATGCCACCAAGGGCCCCAGCATAGAAGTGATTTGCTCGAGGTTGAGGGCCAGGGCTGGGTTGCGGGGCAGCGCCATTTCCTGACTTTTCACTCTACCCTCTGAGCTGTGGAGAAACACGGAGATAGGAAAAGGCAGTGGGGAGCAAGGCAGGAAGCCCTGGGGCTGGGGCTGGTTCCCCTGTATTGCTTCCTGCTGCCCAGCCCTCAACAACATGTCCTCAGTTAGGGGTGTCCCCGCTCCTGCCCCTCTTCCTCTCCCCACACCTCCTTCACCCCGAGGCTCACTGCCTGTGTCTCCTTTCTTCTTGGCACAGTGCGCTCCCCTCCAGGTCTGGCCAAGACGCCCCTGTCTGCTCTCGGCCTGAAACCCCACAACCCAGCGGACATCCTGTTGCATCCTACAGGTGGTGAGTGACTCTAGCTGGAAGGGAGGTGGTGGGGGGGCCAGAGGGAGGAGTAGGGGTTGGAGGACCCCTGTGGTCCTGGGCAGGGCCTCAGGATCTCATCAGAAAGTGCCCAGAAGGGACGGGTTCTCAGGACCCTTCTGGAAACAAGATGGCAGCCTGGCTTTGTGCCCACAATGCGGTCAGGCCTGAGTGGGGGCTCTCTGTGTAGGGCTTGAACCTTCATGCCCATGGACAGGTGGAGTCAGTACCACTCCCAGGGCCCTCTGACTTGGGGATTTGGAGGCTTGGCCTCAGTTTCCTTGGACTTGGTTAGCTCTCTGCCAGAAGCCTGGCTCCACCATCCCCCGAGTGTACTTGTGGACACGCACACACGGATGTACACCGCCCCCAGGTCACACCTCCCACTTCCTTACCACATCCCCCCTCCTCCCTGTGGGGAAGGGGAGAGTGGAGGGCCCTCGTCCCTGAGTGGCCATTTCCAGTAGGCCGAGCCCAGAAGGGTGTTCTCTAGACTCTGGTTTTAGGGTTGGGCTGGGGCCTTTGGGGCCAACTTGGCTTTTCTTCCTTAGTCACCAGAAGACTGATCCAGCCAGGTAGGAGGGCAATGACACGCATGTGTGACCCACGCGGACACATGGCTGGCATAGCCTCCTGTCCGGAGGTGTCTGCATGGCCGGGGACACTGAGTCACCGGGGAGCAGAAGGGGCCTGGGGCTGCCTCTCACCAGCCAGCACCCTTCTGCTGGAGATGCAAGCCCCGGGTGCACGGGCTGTGAGGGGGGCTGGCTTTGTCCCCGAGAGCGAGGCCCTCCTTAAACTGTGTGTCCTGAGCCCCCAGGGCCGTGTCAGGGTGGACCTTACCTCTTACTCTGGGCTCTTCTGCCCTGGCCTCACCCTTGCTTTCCTGCCTTCTTTCTCTCAGCAGATTGTCTTTCAGGAAATAATCTCTGTTAATCAATCTCTCTCTCTCTCCTTTCTGCTCTTCCTCTCCTCGTCCTCCTCACCTGCCTCTCTTTCCTGCATCCCCTTCCTCCTACCTCCCCTCTCATCTTCCCTCAGAGGAGGCTGAGGGGAAGGTGGTGACCGAGCTTCCCAAAGGTAAGTGTGGCTTTGCTGTGGGCCGCTTCCTGCTCTCCGGGTCCGGGCATGGCTGTTCAGGAGGAGCTTGCTCAGGCTGGCTCGGGGGCGGCTCTCTTTCCTGACAGGTCTCAGATGACCGGCCACATAGCCTTCTGGTCCCCACCCCCTGGTGATGAGCTGTCACCCTGGATGCTGCCTGAATTCTGACAGGCGAGCTGGGCACAGGTTCAGGTGTTGCCAGCTCCAGGCGCCAGGGCAGTGGCACCTGGTGACAGTCCCCCCTCCTGCCACCTCCTCCCCCAGCGGCACGTCCGCTAGCTTGCCTGGGGTGCAGCCAGCCCCCTCGGAGGGCAAAGGGACGCACATTCTTCCATTGCCTGGGGCGCAGTCCACGTGCATAGCTCGGAGCAAGCTTTCTCAGCAGTCTTAGAGCCGAGAGCAGCCTCCCTGAAGCCCTTGCTTGGTTTCATATCAACACAGATGGTGGGAAGTCTGTCTTTCTGGGAGCTTGGATGTCTCTGGGGATCTTAGAACAGCAATGGATCCACTCGCACACGAATGCATTGGGACACCCATGCGCATAATTTTGACAGTTTCAAGGAGTTCGCATGTCTGTGGATCAGCTTCACCCTCGATTTCGATGAACTGTGCATTGTACAAGAAGCAGGGAAGGGGACGTGAGCAGAGATGGGAAAGCAGAGAGGGGACATAATCTGGTTGGAGGCCTTTAAGTTATTAGGGACAGAATTCTAATGATGACTCAGAGCATCAGGTGAAATGAAGGGGGTGCGGGCCTAGGCTGTCTGTATGTGGCTCTGGGCATCGGTGTCCCCCTCTCCTTCACCAGGGGGCCTTGGATGAGGGGGGCACTGAGGTCCCTTCCATCTCTGATATGTTAGATGTTCTGACTTCCCTCCGGGGCCCTGGTTCCATGTGGCCTGGTTTCCTTAAAGGCTCTATCTTTAAGGAAATAATAAATCTTTTAAAGATTTATTTATTTGAGAGCGAGAGAGAGCAGGCGCGTGCACGTGCATGCAAGTGTGAGCAGGGGAGGGGCAGAGGGAGAGCATCTTCAAGCAGACTCCCTGCTGAGTGTGGAGCCCAGCGCGGGGCTTGATCCCAGGACCCATGAGATCGTGACCTGAGCTGAAACCAAGAGTCGGATGCTCTGCCGACAGAGCCTCCCAGGCGCCCCCTATCTGCTTTTCTGAAGCCCACTTCCCACTCACCACCTTGAGGCTGTGCCCCTCTCAATCTGCCGTCACCCCAGAAGATGGCTGCAGCTTCCCATAGGCTTCGCCTGCTTGGAGCCAGCCAGAGTTTGGGCAGCAGAACCAGGCTGCCTGGGCGTAGCAGATCGAGGCGGCCCCCAGCAACAGATCCCAGAGAGGGACGAGCCCAGCGTGCTCTTGGCTGCCCCTCCCCCCTCCCCCCAGCCTTCTACCCGGGGAAGGGGCTGTCCCCCAGGCTTGCTGCTGGCTCCTGGCTCCTGACAGGGCAGTGAAGATGGGACAGGAGTCCAGAAATGCTGGGGCCTGGAGCCCACCCACAAACACTCTCCAGTGGGAGGGTCTGAGGGGAGATTATCCCACAGGCTGACAGGCCCTGGATGTCATGTTTCCCGCTTGGGGGTGACACTTCAGAGAAGCGAGTATCGACAGTCGTGAACCAAGAGCTGCCTGTTTCACGAATGACTCTCTGCCTGCAAGGCCCCGAGGCCTCTGGCCCTCTTCCATATGTCCTGGAGCCACAGAGTTCGGAGGGAAGGTTCTTGCAGATGTGCTCAGCTACATCCACCATTTTCACGGATGTGGGGCTGAGACCCATGCTGTGGGGGTCGGGGTCTGGAATTTCTGCCCAAGGCCACAGTGAGGAGGCAGCAGGACCCAAACTGGACTTGCTGGTCTCCCGTCTCCTAGTCCAGGGGCTATTTCAAAGCCCTCCTCCTGCCTCCAGGCACCGTGCCCTGGGATTCCAGCGTGGGGGTGGAATTGCTGTCGCGGTCTGGGCAGTGGGGTGGGAGAGGGGCAGGGAGCATGGCTGTGGGCAGCCCGTTCATTTTTCCTGACTCATGTACCACCTCCCGGGTCAGACTAAAGCACATTCTTTGCTGACCCTCTGAAGCTCTGCTTGATTTCCCTGCTGAGACTATGATGGGAAATTCAGAAAAAGCTGCCTGTGAGGAAAAATGATCAGAGGCAGAATGATCCAGCTAGAGGAAAAGCAGACTTTAAGGGAAACTGCTCTGGTCAAGGCACTGTGCTAAATGCTTGTCATGCATTCCTTGTCTTATTCACTGATTCATTTATTTCATATTTTGTATGTCTACCATGTACTGTGCACTGTGCCAGGCTCTGGGCATGTAATGATAAGCCGTACTGTGATTCCTCATTTCGTGGAGCTTGAGCCAGAATGAAATTACTTGCAATGAGCAGGAGCCAGAATGAAATTACTTGCAATTACATATTAAGATAGTGCTCCAAAGGGATGGGATATAGTTTATGAGACCTTCTAGCCAAGAACCTGACCTTGGCTGAAGAAGTAAGATGTGAGGGTGAGTGACATTAACTTGGTAAAACCGGGAGGTGAGAAGAGCCTTCCATGTAGAGGAAAAGCATGTACAAAGGCCCTGGGGTCAGAGGGAACTGCATGTTTTTGTTTTTCTAGGAACTGCAAAATCAGTGAGGCTGAGAGCAAGAGGGAGCTAGAGGCTGGAGCAAGGGGGAATGGGGTACAGATGAGGTTCAACAGGCAGGAGTGGGACCATGTGGGACCATTGTCGCACCATCTTGTTTAACAATCACAGAAGCACCGAGAGGAAGGTGGTAGGAACCCCATTTTACCGATGAGGGATGACGTTTAGGGCCGTTAAATGCCTTGTCTAAGGCCTAACAGTCAGTCAGGGGCATGACTGAGAGTCAACGCCCGATCAGTGGAGGCTGCCCCTTTCCATGTGACTACACTGGGCACACCCCCTAAGCAGTGGGGCTGGGGCCTGGGTACTCTTCTCCATGAAGGGGGGCGAGGAAGAAAGCCTGCAGCAGTGTACAGACGTGAGGTCAACATCAAGAATATCTTCCCAGTGGTGAAACAGGGAAAGAAAGTGTAGAAGCTTCTTTCCCAGAGGAATGGGAAAAGGGAACATTCAGGTTAGGTTCTGTTTGTCCAGATGACTAGGTGGGACAGATTTGGTGTAAAGGAAGACTTTGGACTAGAAGTGGCCCCTCTGGGGGATTGTTCCTGCTCGGAGATCCTTGGGGGTGGGTGTACTTGTGGCATCTGGGATTCTAAGGCCGTGCTGTGCAATGCAGATTTATTGAGCACTGATTTTGTGCCAGGTCGTGTACTAGGCACTGAGGGTATCCCCACTGCGGGTATAAGGTGAGATACCCTGGTGAGGGCAGAGATGCCAACAAAGAACTCAGCATTTGGGAGAAGCGCGGAGCAGGGCTTGGAACAGGGTGTTAGGGGAGTTCAGAACTCCTGTGTGTGGCCCAATCTAAAAGGCTTGAAATTCCAACTTTTGAGCTCCTGGACTAGAACTCGGGTGTTTCTTTATTTCCTCCCTCTTCCTCACGCACGTGTCTTCATTTTACTTGGGGTGGGCTTTTGAGCTCCTGGACTAGAACTCGGGTGTTTCTTTATTTCCTCCCTCTTCCTCACGCACGTGTCTTCATTTTACTTGGGGTGGGCAGGCTCCTTCTCTCCAAGTAAAGAACGTTTCCTGGAGGCAGGAAATGCACTTCAGGGTGTGGGTGAAGACCTGTCAGTGCCCTGGGCCTGGTGGGGCCCAAGTCACTCTTATGCTTCCAGGTGCTCTCAGCCGCCAACAGCCACTTAGAAAAGTTTGAGCTCTGGAATGTTCTGTGTGAAGTGCCCTCTGGCCCCACCTCTCCTACTCTTCCCAACTCCTTTGGGTGGAGCTGCTCCAGGCAGGAGGAAAGTAGCAGGAGAGGGTGGGAGGGAAGGGTGGAGGGAGGCAGGACCAGGTGTGGCTGGGGACAGAGGCAGGCACCGGGGGCTGCTTAGAAACGCTGGTGTGGAACGGAGCAGGAAAGAATGAGAGGGAACTTCCCCATCTCTGTCGCTTGATCCTGGCTGGGCAGGTGAGTGGTCTCATTCCCCTTGTACAGATGAGGAAACTGAGTCCCAGAAAGTTTCAGCAACCTGTCCCAGGTCACCCCTCCAGGAATTGAAAGGAGGGGGAATCCCACGAGTCGTCATGTTGTCCTGTGGTTGGGAAGAGAGAAAAAGCCGAGGAATAGACAGAAAGAGGAGGTGTTTTTAATATGGTAACCGACTCTGAAAACTTGGGAAAACTGAGCTTTTGGCCTTAAAGGTTGGTTTTGAACAGTTCTGGAGATGGACTCAAGAAAGGAAGTAATTTCCCAAAGGTCCCTCCTGCTTCGGGTTCATGAGAAACAGAGACCGAGACAGAGGGCTTTGTTCATCTCTACCCCCGGGTGGGCCTGGTAGGCCAGGAAGGGGTGACAGATGGTTGCAGACTAGCCAAGCAGACATGAGGATGGTCATGCACCTAGCGGGGCTGGGGAAGGGAGGTGAACAGGTGAGGGCAGGGCCCGGTGGGCTGGGTCACTGAAATCCTTCTAGGCCAGGAGCAAAGCCCTGAGGCTGGTTGGCCTCTGAGCTCAAGGACTATTTCCTACCGTGTGGAAGGAAGGCAGTTGCTGCTTCTCCCTGGGGAGAGCGTCCTGTGCCCCGAGTTCAGACAGAGTCCTCCCCTGGCTTTCTGTGGCTCCCAATCCGGTGGCAGTGGGGAAGGGGCTGATGAGGCTGATGCCTTACAAATGTGACCACCCTGGGCTTTCCGACTCCCCAGAATTTCTAATATGCCGTCCCATCATCACCCTGTGCAAACTACGGGCAGGCCCCTGGCCTGGGGCTCAGGCTATTGCGTTCAGGCCGGGAGCAGTGAGTGGGGACGCAGCCTTGTCTAAGGGCGAGCAGGCCCGATGGGAGTCAGCGTCCATGGGTCCCAGGCATGGCTCTGTTCTGACTAGGGGACAGGGTGCTGAGGCCCACTTTATCTTAGTTTTACTGTTGGTAGAAGGGGTACATGTACTTTTTTTTTTTTTTTTTACAGGTGGGGTGTAGGGTACTGTGAATTGCTTACCCAGTGTTTGGGCCTGGGTCCCGGTAGGAAAAAGATGGCTCATTCTGTGGGGCAACAGAGAGTTTCATGGACTATTTAAAAGGTCTGGGTAAAGCAGGGACGGATGGTGAAGCACCCCCGGGTGATCCCTAGCAGGAGGAGGGAGCCATTCCCACGCCAGACCTGAAGGAAAGCAGAGAGCTGGAGGAGAAGTTCCCTGAGCGGAGCTGTGGTCTTGGGTAGAGGGATGCAGCCACCGACACCTTGACCTTCTGTCCTCACTCTCCCATCTCCTGCCAGTCCCGCCCACTGGCTAAAGGCCAAAGCCTTCCAGAGCCCTAGGACCTGAGGGTCTGGGTGATGTGGTCAGTACTGGCCTGCAGGGACGCAGAGCAGGCTGGACAGTGGACCGGGAGGACATCGACGGGTAGAAGAGCACAGACTTCAGGGATCATCCACGGGGCTTGTAGCTTGAACTCCTGGGGTCAGCACGAATTCCAGGGAACGAGAAAAGTGAATGTGTGCGTCTCAGGTCCTAGTTATTATGCATCTCTGTGTGGGTGGGGCTGGAGGGTGAAGGTCAGGCATCTACCAGCTTATAGGATAGATGCATATCAGGGGCTCTCTGTGTGCCCGGGGGTGTGTGGGGTGCTGTGAATATAGTCAACAGAGAGCCTGGGGTGGCCAGGGAGCAGATGGATCCTTTGCTGTTTCTCCGTGGGAGAGGGGGTGCTGCCGAGTGTTGCAGGCATGCAGGTGAAGCCGAGAGCCTGGAAGGGTACAGGAGGAGTTTTCAGAGAGTGACCCAGAACGGTGAGGGGTGGGAGGGGAGCGTGGACTCTGGCTTTGCATCTCCATCGCCGTTTCTATGGGCTCCTTGTCGCATGGCAAGGACACAGCTAGCCCCCCAAGACTAAACCGGCTCCCTGATTTTTAGCTGGCCGATGTGTGCGCCGTGGGCTAGGGGGCCGGCTCTGGGCCAGACTGCCTGCATTCCTGGGCCAACTCTGCCCCTTGGTACTGTGTGATGGGGTGAGCTACTTACATTCTCCGATTACTTACATTCTCCTACTTTCCTCATGTAATTGTTTGCTATTTTTATCATTATTAATAGTTCTGGCCGACATGCTGGAGGACTGGGTAGCCGCCAGCTCTTGGCGTCCCCATGAGGCTGTGGCCCTTCTCTAGGCCACCAGGAGCCAGCATTGAGAGTCAGGAGACCATGGTGCTAGTATCTGGCCACTGATTGGCTGTGTGTTCTGGGGCAAATTTCTCTACCTCTCTGGGCCAAGAAGAGGGGTGAGATCAGGGGTCAGCAAACTGTGGCCAATTCTAGCCCACTGCCTCTTTTTGTAAAGAAAGTTTTATTGCAACACAGCCATGCTCTTCTGTTTATGAATTATCTACGACGGCTTTTGTGCTCCCAAAGCAGAATTGACTAGCTGCCACAGAGACCAGCTCCTAAATGGTCTGAAATATTTACTATCGAATCTCTCATAAAACGTGTGCCTGCCCCGGGCCAGAGGGTCTCTGCAGCTTCTTCGGGCTCCGGCCGGACCCTTGGGCACGATGGGCACAGAATCCATGCCTTTGGAGTGAAAGTGGCCTGAGGCTTCTGTGAGGTGGGTGGGTGGCCCGGGGCCGGTTGGGTGGGGCTTTTGAGGAGGCCTCTGGTGAGGCTGGCCTCTGCCTATATGGACGCCAGCTTCGGCCACTGAGGTGACTGGCTCTGCATCACCCTGTGCCCCACCCCCACGCACAGTCACACAGTCCTGGCCCGCGAAATCTCCAGGGACCTGGCCTGCCCAGGACAGCACACACCCTTGGGTTCTTCACTTTCTTAGGCAGGTTTCAGCAGATGCCCTGATTGGGGTCAGTGTGTGAGCTGGGCTCCGATCATGTCCTACTTGGGGGAGCCAGGGCGGTGCCAGGTTTGGAGGTGGTAGGAGCGTCGTCGATCCCTGATTGTGTCCCAGGGGAAGCCAAGAGTGGCCTGCTGCTTCTCTCTGTGTAGCCCTGAGAACCTTTCAGGCCTGGCCTCAGAGGTCTAGGAGGAGGGTCAGGCAGACGCTGGCTGGGCGTCAGATCTCCTCCTGGTCGTGCCTCCACACGTCGCACGCCCCCGGCCTCAGCATCCTCACCTGTAGAATGGCCTTTCTGGCCCTTGTCCCCCACCTCCCCGGATTCTTAGGCTCTTCTAAACACCAGGCAGGGATAATGATGTCAGTCTCGGGAGGAATGCTAAGTGTGTCAGGCAAGGTGGGTGGGAGTGTCTTGGCGTAGAAGGGGCTGGGCGTGACTCGCCGCCACAGGCCTGTTGCTAGGCCAGCAAGCCTGTTTCTGGATTCTGGGCGTGGGTGGAGCCCATGGGAAGCCTGGAGCTGTTCTGAACATGGGCAAGGCTGACCCGGAGCTCTGGGTCCACGGCAGAGCATGGGGGCAGGGGGCACCTAGGAAGGAAAAAGCAGCTAAAAGGGGTGCCTGGCTGTAGGAGGGAAGATTCTATGATGACTATGTTCAGAGGCCAAGCTGGGGTCCATTTCTGGGAAGCTTCTGTGTGTGAGGCCTCGGTTAAAAGTTCTGTGGGGGCTCTCACAGCTTCTCCAAGACACTGGGAAGTGGGGTAGGTGTGGGCTGGCTGGAACCCCAGAAGTGCCCTGTGCATGCTTGGCTATCCTTTGGGGGCTGTCCCCACAGGCTGGGGAATTCCCTGACAGGTTGGGAGGGGTCTACACTGCACCCCTGTGGATCTCAGTCTCTCTTCTGCCCCCTTCCAGAGCCCCGGAGCTATGTGGAGTCGGTGGTGAGGACAGCAGTGACTGGACCCCGAGCTCAGGACCCTGAGCCCAAGAGCTTCAGTGCCCCAGCTGCCCAGGCCTATGGCCACGAGATGCCCCTGAGGAATGGGACCCTGGGAGGCTCCTTTGTCTCCCCCAGCCCCCTCTCCACCAGCAGCCCCATCCTCAGTGCTGACAGGTAAGTGGGGAGGAGGATCCAGGCCTGGATCTGCCTAGAGCATGGACGGGCAGAAATCACATCCAGATAGCTGTACCTTGGAAACCAGCCCACCGAATTGAGAGAGCATCCCGGGTTCCGAAGCCCATGGGGAGCACGAGGGTGGATGAGCTATAATTCCCAGGCTGAATTTGATCCCACCGTCCAGAACTGTGCTGGAAGGAATGGGAGCCACCATGGTGAACCAGTCCTTCCCCCAAGTTCAAAACCTAACAACGGCAATCACTATGTAGTGAGTGCTTCTGGTGTGCCAGACACTTCGTTAAATGCTTTATCTGGTTATTTTATTTAATCCTCTCAGCAATCCTGAGAGGTAAGTACTCTTATGGTCCCACTTTTCAGAAGAGGAAACCGAGGCACAGGGAAGCCAAGTAGCTTGCTCAAGGTCCTGCAGCTAAACAGTAGCAGAAATAGGATTCAGACCAAAGGCGTCTGGTTCTAGAGCCCACGTCTCTCCTCTCCCCTGGGCCTATGTCTCTGTGCCCACCCATCCCAGGCTGACAGTCTGAGGTGCCCAGAGCAGACATATAAGGGCTTGGAGCTCCCGGTGAGGGGCTGTTGTTTCTGGCTAGGGATGCAGAGAGGGTTTCTGGGGGCTGGAGGTATTTGTGGTGAGGCCAGAAGGATGAGCAGCTGTTGAAAGGTGGAGGAGGAGGAGGGAACGGGCATTCTAGAAGGAACAGCACAACCAGGGCAGAGGGCTGGGGTGTGGACCTGTTGGTGCCGTGGGGCTGAGGGCACCCAACTACAGGTGGGGAGGTGGATGGGTGGCTGGCGTTCTGAGTGGGTCAGACAGAGAGGAGAGCCTGGAATCAGGCCGGGGAGGGCTGTGAAGAGGGATGCCCCCATGTGGGGGGTGCAGGGGGAGTGGGCTGTATGCTTTGTGACAGGGAGAACGGGATATGACACGGCACAGGGAGCTTGAGATCAGCCCAGGCAAGGCAAAGGGTGCCAGGCATGGGGGGATGGACTAGGCTCGCCTGCCCCGACCAGAGCTCTCCTCCAGGAGGGGAGACTGCTGCTAGGCATTCCTTTGCATGTCCACCCCCTTTCCCAGCCTGGCCTCCCATGGGGCCCAGAAACTGTCCAGCCACCCCCTCCTATTGTCACAGGCCAGGCCCGGTGCAGAGTTTGCTCTGTGCCCTATGCCCTTGGCCCAGCGCAGCGTGCCCCTCCCAGGTCAGAGTGGGGGTGGCCTGGTGAGCAGAGGCTGTGTTTTTCTGCGTTCTAAGAATTCGAGAACCTCAAGCTGAGCATGCACCCCCAGTCCATCTCGCCCCCTCCCCAGCCTCTGGACAGGGCAGATGGCTCCGTTTCTTGGGAAGTCTGCTTCTGGGCAGAAGGTGAATTCTTCCTTTAAAGGAAGGGGGATTTTCCTAACCTGGCTAGCCGCTGCTGCTCCTGTTGAGGGAGCCCTAACCTTAGGAGGTTTTCACTCTTTCTCACTCAAATTCCTCCTGCTGTGGAGTTGGCTCTTTTCAGGGCTCAGGAAGCTAGCATTTCCCTGGTGGGATTAATCTTCCAGAACTCTATGTCAGTGGCCCCCACCCCACCCTGCTCCGCCTGACACATCCTCCCATTCCTGAGTCTGTGGTATTCCGTCCCAGGAATAGCATTGCACTCTAGCTCCTTCTGGGATTCGAGGTAGACTTTTTCTTGGCCTGGCCCATGACCTGCTTCCTGCCCTTGGCTCTTGCCCGGCTCCCCACCTCATGTCCCCCAGCGACCAGAGCTTATCCAACCTGGCCTCGAGACTCCTTCCAGTCTGTAGCTCCAGGCTTTGGCCCATCGTCTTGTGTAAGGACCACCCCCTCCACCCTTGCCCCCTGCCCAGGGGCTCCTGCTGCCAAGCCCCCCTGCTACTTCCCTGCAGCCACAGCTTAGGCGGGGTCCCTGTCAACCTTTGCCTCTCCTACCATATCATCAGCGGGTAGGAGTTTGGGTCTGGAAGGAATCAGCATTACCTAACCCAGCCCCTTCGTTTGCCACATGAGGAAAGTTGAACAGGTTTCCAGCATCTGGGTTTCCCAGCTGATGGGCCATTGCATTGCACGGCTCTACAGACTTGCACAAAACTTCAGAGGAGGATCTGTGATTGTGGCTATTTCCCCAGGGACAGCCCCCTCTGAACTGAATTTTATTGGAGTCTTAGAATGGGGAGCTACCTCTGAGCTCATCTAATCTAACCTCCCAAAGGAGGAGATCCCCTGGCCACAGCATTCAGGTCCGGAAGTTGGTCAGCTTCTGCTTAAATACTGCTAATGACGGGAGTCTCATTACTATGCAAGGCAGCTTGCTAAATTAGTGGCCAGATCCAACGGCTGGAAAGCAGGCCTTACAATAAGCTGAAATCTCCTTCTATGAGACTTGTTGTCTGCCTTTTGGAGCTATCCAGGAATGAAAGCCCAATTCCGGCACTCTCTGTGTCCAAAGACGATAATAGCGTTCTGGGAAAAGTGAGTCAAGGCGGGATACTCCCAGTAGGAACAGGAGCCAGGTGGTTTGACCCCTCCCTGGTGTTCTGTTTCGGTGATGTTGGAGGTGACATGAGGCTATCTTCAGTTTCCATTAGAGGAGACCCCCCTGTTTTGACTTGTGGTTTAGGAGTCAACAAGGGGCAGTGAAGGAAACATGGGCTTTGAAATCAGATGCAATTTGAGTTAGAACCCTGGTATTTTACTGTGGGTTGTGAGCTTAGTGCTTCGCCTCTCTGAGCCTCCGTCTCTTCTTCTGCCGGTTCCATAGGGTGATGTACAAAAGTCATGACATTCCAGCAAACATGCCCGTGGAGCTCTTTTTGTTGTTACTAGCGGTGGGGGGGAGGGCTGCATGCTCACAGAGAGCCTGTCCTTCACCTTGACATCTCACCCTGCCCCCTCTCTTTCTAGCACTTCAGTGGGGAGTTTCCCATCTGGGGAAAGCAGCGACCAGGGCCCCCGGACACCCACCCAGCCTTTGCTGGATCTGGGCTTCCGTTCCGGCAGCCTGGGCCAGCCCAGTCCTTCGGCACAGAGAAGCTACCAGAGCTCTTCTCCTCTCCCACCCGTGGGCAGCAGCTACAGCAGCACCGACTACTCACTTCAGCAGTTCAGCGCCCCGGAAAGCCAGACGCGGCCTCAGTTCACTGTGGCCGGCGTCCACACGGTGCCTGGAAGCCCTCAGGCTCGCCACAGGACAGTGGGCACCAACACCCCCCCCAGTCCTGGCTTTGGCCGCCGGGCCATCAACCCCAGCATGGCTGCCCCTGGTAGTCCCAGTTTGAGCCACCGCCAGGTGATGGGTCCAGCAGGAACTGGTTTCCACGGTAGCACGGTCTCCAGCCCCCAGGGCAGCGCAGCGACCACTCCGGGAAGCCCCAGCCTGGGCCGGCATCCCGGGGCCCACCAGGTTTCAGGCCTCCACGGCAGTGTGGCCACGACTCCGGGAAGCCCCAGCCTGGGCCGGCACCCTGGGGCGCACCAAGGCAGCCTGGCCTCTGGTCTCCATGGCAACGCGATAGCCAGCCCTGGAAGCCCCAGCATGGGCCGGCACCTGGTAGGGTCTGGATCTGTGGTTCCCGGCAGCCCCAGCCTGGACCGGCACGTGGCCTGCGGTGGCTACTCCACCCCCGATGACCCGAGACCCACGCTGTCCCGGCAGAGCAGTGCCTCCGGCTACCAGGCTCCCTCCACGCCCTCCTTCCCTGTGTCCCCTGCCTACTACCCAGGCCTGAGCAGCCCTGCCACCTCCCCATCGCCCGACTCGGCCGCCTTCCGGCAAGGGAGCCCCACACCAGCCTTGCCCGAGAAGCGGAGGATGTCCGTGGGAGACCGAGCGGGCAGCCTCCCCAACTACGCCACCGTCAATGGGAAGGTGTCCTCCTCGCCTGTGGCCAGTGGCATGTCCAGTCCCAGCGGGGGCAGCACCGTCTCCTTCTCTCACACCCTGCCCGACTTCTCCAAGTACTCCATGCCAGGTGAGCCCCTCCTTCTGCTCCCGCCTCCACCTTGATGGATCGCCTGCTGGTTAGGATATCTGTCTCTGCCTCTGCTCTGCCGTCTCTTTGGCACACAGTCTCGAGCAGATCACTGACTTCTCGGCCTCAGTCTCCCCATCTGTATAATGGAAGTTGGAGGTGTCCTCAAAGTAAGTGTGCTGGGTGTGGGGGCAGTGATGGGGATGTGGGTGCCCATGAGGATGATGAAGAGGAGGAGGATAATAGTGATGATCTTACTGGGAACGATGATCATCACCACCAGCCTAGCTTCTGCCCCTTGTTGAGCACATGCTATGGGCCAGGCTCTGAGCCAGGCACGAGCTCTTTAATCTGCACGGCTGCCTGGCACAGTAGGTATTATTGCCCCTGCTTTATTTTATTTTATTATTTATGTTATTTTATTTTATTTTATTTTAAGATTTTACTATTTATTTGAGAGAGAGAGAACAGGAGCAGGGGTAGTGACAGAGGGAGAGGGAGAAGCAGGCTTCCCGCGGAGCAGGGAACCCGATGTGGGGCCCCATCCCAGGACCCTGGGATCATGACCTGAGCTGAAGGCAGACACTTAACGACTGAGCCACCCAGGCGCCCCCTTATGACCCCCAGTTTATGCAGGAGCAAACCGAGGCTTAGAGAAACTCAGTCATTTGTCCAGGGCTCCACACTTAATAAATGGCTTCTGATCTAGGCCCACGTACCCTAAAGCTGGTGCTCTTAAAGCATGATTAGAGTTGTCTTATCATGTTTCCATACTTGTGATTTAGCATCACCCTGAAAATCTGCCTTCCAAACCTGGACCTCCTATGTTTGGCTGCCCACAGCACTCTATCCCCACCTTTTGATCCCACTGCGCACACATCACTAATAACGGATCAGGCAGCCGGCTGCACTCTGGGCCAAGGCCGGGGGTTGGGCATGTTCCCCGGAATCTGGTTCGTGACCGTGAACCGGCCCAGCTTCACGGAAGCCCATGTGTATTCACACACTGAATTCTTTACTCATCACCAGAACTTGGCATTTTTTGCCTCCATGTAGAGGGCTCATTATCTAAACACAAAGGTCAAGGCCTCAGCTGATCAGCAGCCTCTCAGCCAGACCTCAAATGTGACTACTGCCGAGTGGCCCCGGAGCTCTGGGGCATTTGAGGACGATTTAGAATGTTTCGGGCAGCCTGCGGTGGGCCCCAGCTGCCTAGATGCTCAGTGTGACTCGCCCGGGTTCTGCCCTGAGCCTGCCAACCCGGGGCACCTACAGCGCCCCTGCACGCCCCTGCTTCCTGCTACCCACCAGAGACATCTGGTTCCCAGCCCCTCTTCTTGGAGGATGGAAAACTTCTAGTAGTTGGGACATTTCCTGTTTCCCACCATCTTCCCTGCTTAAAATAGCCATTGGAGTCAACACAGGAAGGCACATGGGGCTGCAGCCGCCTCTGACAGCTCATTAGGCCCCAGCAGCAGTGGGGGCCTGGGGCTTCAGAGCAGAGAGAGAGGCAGCAAGCAGCACTTGTGGCCCAGCTGCCTAGCCCAGAGGCCCCCCTCCGTGCACAGCTGCCAGGAAAGGGAGCCGGCCTACCCCCTTGCTGTCCTCCGGACGCCAGTCCCAGGGCCGAGCACGGTGTAACTGACAAGTCGAAATGGACCAAGCGCTGGACACACAACCTAACTCGTGTCTCGGGTCCGCGCCGTCAACTTCACAGCATTAACATAAGCTCGCTCTGTCCCAGCTTCTCTCTGAAGAAAGGAGAGCAAAGAAACATGTGCAGTTGGAATCTTCCTTTCTTTCTCTTCCCCCAACCCCCCTTTTGTTTCTTTGGTGCCAAAAGATGAAGGAAGAGCTTGGAGAGCGAGGGCCACACATCCTAACACCCAGACAAGGAAGAGAAGGTGTAGCCAGCACGGAATTGGCGGCTGTTTTTCCTTACCTGGGAAGGTCTTACAGGAGCCTTTCTGAGAACCGCCTGTGCGATTTGGGTAGCCTCTCCCTCTCTGAGCCTCACTTCCCTCATTTGTATAGTTAAGTGGTTGGACTGGATGCTCTCTGAGCATCTTCCTGAACTAATGCTCCATAAGGCATCTCTGGTCTGCAGAGGGTCTGGGTGAGGGTCATTTGCCAGGGAAGTGGGGTAGGTATATGACTCAGAGTAGATAGCCTCTAGGCCATCCCCCTCCTCTGTTCCAGGGCAGGTTCTCCTCTGTTCCAGGGCAGGGCTGAATTTTTTTGTGTGTGATGGAGAACATGGGCTCTCCATATAAGGCATGAGGGGGTGGGCGGGGGGCTTGGGGAGAAGTGATGGGAATGTATCTTTCTTTCCTCAACTTCGAGGTGGTTTTGACACAGTTGGGAAATCCATCTTGTGGCGAAAGAGGCCAGAAGGTGGGGTGCCTTAGCCTGTGGAAGAGAAGCTGCAGGAAGGGTTTAGTCCAAATCTTCTGGGGAAAGGAGGGGACAGGGTGAAGGAGGGGCTTTCCTCAGCTTCATGAGATTTGCTGTGCCAGGCTCTTCGAGAGGAGAACAGCTCCATGATGTGTGACAGTTGGCGGGGATTGGGAAGGATGGGCAGGCCGCTCGAGGTCCCTTCCAGCAGTGAGGACGCTGCCGTCCTGTGCTAGTTTTCTGTGACCACCATGACAAAGTACCACACACGTGGTGGCTCAAGACGACAGAATTTAAGCCTTCCCGGGCTGGAGGCTACAAGTCCAAAATCAAGGTTTTGGCAGGGTTGGTTCCATCTGGAGGCTCGAGGGAGAGTCTGTTCCAGGCCTCCCTCTTAGCTTCTCGTGGTGGCTGCCAATCCTTGGTGTCCCTTGGCTTTTAGACTCATCCCTTGGTCTCTACCTCCGTCTTCATGACCCTCCCCACGTGTCTCTCTGTCTCTTCCCCTCTTTGGATAAGGACATCAGTCATATTGGATTGGGGCCCACTCTAATCCAGCACGACCTCATCTTACCTTAATGACATCTGCAGAGACCCTATTTCCAAATAAGGTCACATTCACAGGTACCTGCGGTTCGGGCTCCAACAGACCTTCTTGGGGGGCTACAATTCAACCCCTAACACTGTTTCTCTTTCTTCATCTCTCTTTAGACAACAGCCCCGAGACACGGGCTAAAGTGAAGTTTGTCCAGGACACTTCCAAGTATTGGTACAAGCCTGAGATCTCCAGAGAGCAGGGTGAGTCCTGGGTGCCACCTAGGGTCCTGTGGTCCATCAGAGGTCACAGCTGGCTGCTGCCCACCATGTCTTCCTCGGGCAAGGAACACAAGCAGACTCACTCCTTTTTGCCGTATGTGGTGGTCACACAGAGGGGCTGGGATCAAGGTCAGACAGTAAGAAGCCCCTCCCCAGGCTGAAGTGTGGGAGGACCGAAGCAGGGTTTGTAGACCCATGAAGGGTCCTTAAAAGCAGCCAAGTCTGGATTTGCCAAGCACAGTAAAAGGCCAGCCAAGGTAATAGCAAATCTTAGCCCTCTGTCTATGTGAGGCCGGAGACTTTTGCACATTTTACGGAAAGAACAAAGTTGGGATCGTGGGGCTGGAGATGAGGCCCGCCTCAGGCTCCCAAGGCAGATCCGGGCGGATGTAAGGCAGGCGTTGGGGATGGGCTCGAATCCGGACTGCTGCCTGCGGGTGTAACTACGGTTTTAGTGGAATGCACCGTGGCGATTCGCTTCTGTATCGCGCGGCTGCTTTGAGGCTTCCGGGGCAGGGCCTGGTACTCGCAGTAGGGGGCTGCACGGCCTGTGGAGCCTGAAATATCTACTACCTGGCCATTCATAAAAGACGCTTGCTTACTCTAGCAGAGGAGGCCCCTTAGGAGTGTTTAAATTCTAACTAAAGAACGAGATTCGATAGGCCTGATGAGTCTTAAATAAGCCCAGGGCCATCACCGTCTTCTCTCCTCTTCTCTCCTCATCCCCTTCCAACCCCAGCCATCGCACTCCTCAAGGACCAGGAGCCGGGGGCCTTCATCATCCGCGACAGCCATTCCTTCCGAGGGGCCTACGGGCTGGCCATGAAGGTGTCTTCTCCCCCTCCGACCATCATGCAGCAGAATAAAAAAGGTAGCACCGCCCCCTCCTCGAGCAGGGCTTCCGGACCATGTGCTCTGTCCCGTGTTCTCGGAGCCTGAGGTGCCCAAGGACCCTGAGAGCAGCAGGGGAGCTGGTCCCCACTGAGTCAGACTCTTCAGGAGGATGAATCCTGGGCCTGGTGATGGTTGGGGTCAGAGCACAGGGAAGCAGGATTATGGGGACCCTGTGGTTGTGTTTGCTTGAGCGGTGGTCTCTCCATTCTGGGGGTTCTGGCCGTACTTCCCGTCCCACCCTTGCTCCCCTCACAGAGCGCGCACGTGGGGAAGGGATGGAGTGCCGTTGGCAGGTGCTGGGAGGGCACCACGAAAAGTGCTCCATCCTCTTGTCTTTCTCTTCATCCCAGGGGACATGACCCATGAGCTGGTGAGACATTTCCTGATCGAGACCGGCCCCAGAGGAGTCAAGCTCAAGGGGTGCCCCAATGAGCCAAACTTTGGTGAGCTGTCCCCCACCTCCACAGCCTGCCCGCAGAGTCTCAGGCAGTCCCCGGTCCCCCTTGTTGTGGGTGCGGGGAACAGTGGCCCCCGTCCCCTGAACTGTGGCTGCTTCTCTCTGCCACATGCTTTTCTGCATTTGTCCCACTCCACTGAAATGCATTACCATTGGAATTTGAATAACAACCCTAACAACTGCCTATATCTACCGCCCCCTACGATGTGAAAGTCACCATCTGGGAACCTTATATTACTTGTGGTCTCCTAACAGTCCTGCATGGGCAGGACTAAGCTAGACTTACCCAAGGAACACAGAGCTAATAAGTGACTGAGCCGGGATTTGATCCCACGATTCTCTGATACTTTGGCTGCACCATCCTGAGAGGGGCCCTAGCAGCTGGAAGGACTAAGGAAAGATGTTGGGAGGAATTTTCTGGAAAGGAAACCTTGTGGCTGTTAGAGGGAGCCTCTGGAACCTTCTCCCTTAGATCTTGCTAACAAAGAGGGGGTGGATTTTCAGCTTCATTGGTGGGATGAGGGAGAGGTGATAAAGAAGCTGGAGATTACGGATAGCGGGGTGGGGTGTCTGGGCTCTTCAGCACCCTGGCCCACTCCCAGGGACACTGGTCCTGACGTGCTCTGTCCTCCCACAGGGTCTCTCTCTGCCCTGGTCTACCAGCATTCCATCATCCCACTGGCTCTGCCCTGTAAGCTGGTCATTCCAAACCGAGGTAGGAACGTGAGACTCCTTGCTCTCCAAGTACATCTTTGAGCTGGCCTCCTCCTTGTGTCAGCTCAGCCAGCCACTCTAGAACACGGGCCAGGGTTGGAGGACATGGGTCATTTTGCCAATCCGGGGAAATTCAAAACTACTCTCCTTCCCCCCACCCTGCCCCCACCCATTAAAAAAAAAAAAAAAAGGAAAAGTTCTTTAAAAAACTTAACTCCAGGAACACACATAATTGACTTGCCAGATTGTTCTGGAAAATTCTCTGGTGGCTTTAAGGAATTCTTTTGTGAATCTTCAGAATAAGCCCAGGGGAGGCACTAGAAGTAGGAGACAGTGATGGGGAGGACCGTGTGTGGAGGATAAGATGGACATCGGTGGGCGGGGTTGAGGGAAGGGGAAGGGGAAGGCAGATTTAGGTCGTGGCGGGTGTTGCCCAGGGGTTGGAGGTTGATGTGAGTTAAGAGGAGCGCACTCAGAGGAAGAGGTGGCTGGTGCCTCATAGCGTGGGAAGGAAACGGGGCCAAGATGTCCCTGCAGTTTCCAGTCCGCTTGGCTGTGGGGGTGTTCTCTGACTGAGGGGATGCAGAACTAGGGAAAGAGCAAGGCCTGTTGATTGTGGAAAGTATAAATGGAGCCTGAGAGCCTCAGGACATATAGGTGAGAATTTGAGGGGGACCCTGGGCCCAGCGAAGGAGAGTTTAGCCTCTCTTAGAGAAGTGTTCCAGCTTTGGAGGATGGCAGATGGACATCCGACACCCTTCACAGTGTAGGCTTCTGCCCCCCGGCCCCACATACGAGGCCCATGTGAGGGGGATTATGCTCGGCCCTGACCTCGAGGTCTAGGAACTGGAACCTGGGTTCCTTCTTCCCATCCTCTCTGTTGAAAACTAGGATATCCAGAAGTGTCTCTGGGACTTTCTTCCAGTTTCTCTTGGAGCTCCTGGGGTTATGCCCACACACAAAACCCCCAATATTATTTGATAATTTCTATGTATCCAACTCAATTCATTGAATTATTAATGATAATTGACCAACATTATTAGTTTAAAAGTTCAAATACAACTTAAGTAGCATTATTAACCCCGCAATTTGGACACCAACTAAATTATAGTTCTATGACATTTATGAAAGTAGTTTAGCGATTATAAAACTGTTTGATATTGGGCGCCTGGGTGGCTCAGTTGGTTAAGCGACTGCCTTCGGCTCAGGTCATGATCCTGGAGTCCCTGGATCGAGTCCCGCATCGGGCTCCCTGCTCGGCGGGGAGTCTGCTTCTCCCTCTCCCGCTCCCCCCTCTTGTGCTCTCTCAAATAAATAAATAAATAAAATCTTTAAATAAAAAAAATAAAACTTTGATATTTACATTGTATAAAACAGTGCTTCTCAAAGTATGGTTCCCAGACCTGCTGCATTGGCACGCCTGGGACCTTGTTAAAAATGCAAATACTCTCAAGCCCCACCTACTCAGAAACTCTGGGGTGGGGCTCAGCAATCTGTTTTAAAAACCCTGCACTCCAAAGTCTGAGGAACACTGGTACAGACAGTACTCAGTTCTTATTAATATTGAAATTATAGTTGTGCTGCATTAAGGGCTTGATGATGTAGGGCATTCGTCGATCTACACAAAGACACATCCATGCACAATGCTGACAGTGACATCCATTGCCACTTGAAGACCTGCTTTATGCCAAGCACTGGGCTCACACTGTACGGGGGGGCATCTCAAAGCCCCAACAAAATGGGTACGATTGCATCTCTGTTTTATAGCTACTTGGCAGATACTGGGGCGAGGCCCTGAGCCCCACGCTGTTGGACCCCAGAGCTCTCAACCCGTGTGCTACATACTTACAGTCATTGTTGGAATGTTCAGCCTGGACACACACGTGCCAACTGCCGGGGCCTGTTATGAAAAGCAGTATCCGTTGCACAAAGTATTTGCAGAGCTTGCTTGAGGCCCAGCCAAACGCGTGCTGCTTTCCAGCTCTAGAGTTTTAATTACCAGCTGAATTAAGTTTTTGTCTCAGACCCCACAGATGAATCGAAAGATAGCTCGGGCCCTGCCAACTCCACCACTGATCTGCTGAAGCAAGGGGCAGGTGAGTGGTCACCCCAGACTGGGTCCCCACCCAGGCCTCTCCTCTTGCCCGCCCTGTCCCCTCCTGCAGACCCAAATATCTCTGGGCAGTCCAAATTTCTCTGTGCGGATGCCTGGCCTGAGGCTGGCCTAAAATTCATCAACTCCTTCTCCCCCAAGAGATGACTTGGTGTGTCATCCCCACCCACTCTGGCCCCCCTGACTCCTCTTTGGGTGGGTTTATTCCAGCCTGCAACGTGCTCTTCGTCAACTCTGTGGACATGGAGTCACTCACTGGGCCACAGGCCATCTCCAAAGCTACTTCTGAGACACTGGCTGCTGACCCCACACCAGCTGCCACCATTGTTCACTTCAAAGTTTCTGCACAGGGAATTACACTGACTGACAACCAGAGAAAGTAAGGCTTTTCTACTTGCTTCCATATTGGGCTCTCTCCTTGTGGCCCATCTATCCATCTATTTACCCACCCACTTACCATTCGTTCCTTGTACTCATCTTCCACCCACCCACCCACCCATCCACCTACCCACCCATGCATCCAGCTGTCCACCTGCCCGCTCATCCAGCCACCTATCTACTTTTCTACCCACCCATCCATCCTTCCACCCAACCACCCATCCATCTACTTACTCATCCATTCACCAACTGATTTGCTCATTCCTGCATCCATTCATCCTCCATTTATCCTCCTCCACCCATTTATCCTATCATCCATTTATGTCTCTACTCACTCATTCATCCATCCTTCCACCCATCCACCTACCCATCCATACATCCATCTATCCACCTGCCCACTCATCCAGCCATCTATCCACTCTTCTAACCATGCATCCATCCTTCCACTCAACAACCCATCCATTCTTCCACCCAACTACCCATCCATCCTTCCACCCAACCACCCATCCATCCACCTACTCATCCACTCACCAGTTGATTCGCTCATACCTGCATCCATTCATCCTCCATTTATCCTCCCCCACCTGTTTATCCCATCATCTCATTTATTCATCTGTCCTTCCATCCATCCATCCATCCATCCATCCATCCATCCATCCATCCTTCTACAATTGTGCCTGCATTGAACACACAGCCATAAATACAATCAATAAAAGTGCCTGCTTTCTAGAGCGGAGCGTTTCCTCTCAGGCTCTCCCTCCTGCTTCTTTCCTTCCTCCTCCAGGGTCTGCTCATGTTCTCCTTCAATACCAGTTTCTTCCTTCTTTTCCTACTTACTAGCATTTGGGACATGTTTCAGTGACACGTCTATCTGTTCCTGGGCATTGCTTCTATGAGCGGCCCAGGCCATCTTGCGTATAAGGGGGAGGCGGGGTCAGCCCATGACAGCCACGCACGGTGGCCTGACCTGCAAGGGGAAGGTGGGAAAGAGTGGTCATTTCCGCGCTTATTCTCTCTCTATCTGTTGTCTGTGCCACAGGCTCTTCTTCAGACGACACTACCCCCTCAACACTGTCACCTTCTGTGACCTGGATCCTCAGGAGAGAAAGTAAGGCTCTTGCAGACCCCTTCCCTCCCGCCCATTTCTGTAACGCCGGAGTCTCTGTGTGTGCATGCATGTGCACGTGTGGGTGTGGGCGTATATTCTTGGTTCGACTTGAAGGTCTGCCTGTGTCCGAGAGACAGTGAGTAATTGTGTTGGGTGGCTTTCTGAGTTTTTCCCACCACACATTTGGAGCCCCTCCCAGGGACCCATATGCTTGCTTCCGTGCCCTCTGCCATATCCTTGACCTCAAATCTGCTTCTCCTCTTCACATTGGGGAGAGCTCCTTGGGAGACAGGCCACAGTGTTCTCTCCACCGTGAATGCCTCCCCCTGTGTGATCTTTGGAGGCTCCCATCCCCCTGGAACGGGGTCTCCCTTCTTCCCCCAGGAGGCCTGGGCATGCACGGGGCCGGGTTCTGGGGGGGTGAGAAGGTGTAGTGTTTTATGCTGTGGTGTGTTTCTCTCCACAGGTGGATGAAGACAGAGGGAGGTGTCCCTGCTAAGTAAGTGTCTTCTCCCCTGCCCCAGCCGGCTGCTCCTAGGGGAAGCCTAGAATCTGGGCCCGGGGTAGGCAAAGGGCAGCAAAAGCATTTGTGCTGGGGTCAGTCACTCAACTTTGGAGGAAAGCTTGGCCAGCCAGCGAGGTCTTTTGCCTTCTCCTGCCTCGAAGCTGGAGGCCCAGCCTCCAGTCTTGTCACCTGGCCTCTCCTAGGACCAGACCAGCAGGATCTGAGGAAGCAGGCAGAGGGCTGGCAGTTATATTGGGGGCAGCGGCCACAGGGCAGGGGGCTGCTTGAATGGTCTTTCTGCCCAAATCCTGCTTCCTTGATTCCCACTCTCACTCTTTTGGTGAGTGTCTGTGAATCCTGTGGTCAGGAGTGAATGTTGCTCAGCAGTGGACAGCACCATGAACGCCCCTGGGAGCATCCAGAGGGGCTGGGGGGACAGAGGGGATCTCGCCTTGCCCCAGGTCACGTAAAGAACTAGTGGCCCAGCTGAAAGAAGGACCCAGGTGTCCAGCCATCTCAGAGCATGCCTCATACCTACTTCAGCCTTCTTTGAGTTCCCAGGGCCGTTAGGAACTCCGAGTCCCTGACCCAAGCAGGCCAGAGCTTTGTGTCTGAAGGAGCTCATGCTCAGTCACCACCGGGCCCTGCGATGGGGAGACAGTGGGTTGGGGACAGAAGTGGGCTGCTCCCAAGCCCGGAAGTCATTCTCCTCATTCCGGAGCTGGTTTTATGCAGAGCTTCCTGTTGACATGGCCTTGCTCGGCAGGGCAGAGGCCCCCGGAGAGCCCGGCTCAGTCAGGCAGGGACCAGGGGGAGGTATGCGAGGCGCCTCAGGCCCCAGATTTCAGGAGGTACTTGATCGCAGGTCCTTGCAAGTGCTCCTCCCTGCCCTGGGGCTGAGGTTTCTTGCCTGGATCCATTCCCCCTGAGCAGAAAAAGGACTTGGCAGTCGTTGAACTGGCCTCTGGAGCCAGGGAGCTGAAATCAACAGCAGGGAGAGCAGGCGGGCCGTGTTTAGGCTGGTGAGATTGGCTGGCTCTCCACCCTGGCGAAACCAGGCAGCCAGGGCTGGCTCGAGGTCATGGGGCGGCTGGGAGCCACTCCCTCCCTCCGCCCTTACTGCCCTCCTCCGCACCGGCACCAGCACCGAGGAGCCTCAGCAAGCCTGCAAAGAAGGTGCCGTGGACGCAGGCATCCCCTTCGCTTGGGCAGGCCATTACCCCGGACCTCGGGCCCTAGCTGCCCCCAGCCCCTGAAACAAAGTTGGGGATAGCCAAGCTGTAGGAAGCTGTAGGAAGTCCTGTGCATGTGCATGCGTGTGTGTGTGTGTGTGTGTGTGTGTGTGTGTGTACACATGCGTGCGGGTGGTGGCGAGCAGGACCCAGCTTTGCTAATTTCAGCTGTTGTGGTCCAGTCCTGGGGAGAGGGGTTTCCATCGGAATCTCCAGCTGTCCCGATTTCCCCATCTCGCTCTAATTAGCAACGTGCCGACTGGGAGGGGACCTGGACTCACATTCTGTTCTCTGCTCATATTTTTAACTCTGTTTTGCACAGAGAATTCCAGGTCACTCTGGTGCGGGGAGTGGGGGTGGGGAGGAACAGGTGTGGGGTCCCCCATCCCCTCCCATTCTCTGGAGCCCGGGAGAAGAGTGTGTGTGTGTGTGGGGGGGCGTGGTGACCCCTTGTCCTTGTCTCCCTGATCCTCCCCTGGTGTCTGAGGAGGCCAAGCGCTTTGACAGGCAGACGGCATTTTCTTCATGCGCTTCTGTGTTGTGCGCAAGAACTGTCGGGGAGGGGTGGGGCTGGGAAGGACCAAGAGAAGCCAGCCTAGGAATGTCCCCATTTTATTTTCGGTCTCCTCCCCACCTCTTGCTGTCCAGTCTCCTCATTTGCCTCCAGCCCCTCCTCCGGCTGCTCCTCAGAGGGGAATGGCTGCCTGCCCTGAAGCCAGGGACACTCTCATCTCCAGGCCCTGGCTTTCTGGGGGCAGACGAGAGGGAGGATTCTCTCCTGCGCTCGGGAACCCCCATCCCCATGTACAGGGAGAGGTGGGAAGACTGGGGAGAGGCTTTGAGCTGAGGATGAGCTTGCTCACATGGGCAGCCCTCCCAGGCCTGGGGTCCCCCCCCCCGGCCCCCGCCTTCCCCTCACGCCTGGCACCCCTCTCCTGCCCCCCCGCAGGCTCTTCGGATTCGTGGCCCGGAAGCAGGGCAGCACCACGGACAATGCCTGCCACCTCTTCGCTGAGCTTGACCCCAACCAGCCCGCCTCCGCCATTGTCAACTTCGTCTCCAAGGTCATGCTGAGTGCGGGCCAGAAGAGATGAACGCCACCCCTCGCCCAGGGCCAGGGCAGTGGGGGGGATGGGGCGAGTGGGGAGGGGACCCATGAATCCTGACCACCCTTGAATCCAGAAGGAGGACTTTGGGCCAATTTTGGAGAAGGAGAGAAGAAAGTGCAACGTGGGGAGGGGGAAGTGAATTGCAGAGGGGAAGGGGGAAGAGAGAGAGAGAGAGAAAGAAAAAGATGGAGGAGAATAACTTGGATTCCCCTGGGTGGAGGGATACTGTGGAGCCCTGAAAGCCTCCACCGCTCACCAGGTCCACCTAATTCCCCCTTCCCCCCTCCGAGAGGATGGGGCTCCTCAGAGGAGACAGACCAACTCCTTGGGGATCTGTCATTTGGGAGTAAATGGAAAAGCTCTGTCTCCCTAACCCGACTGCTTCGCAAGGAGAAATCAGATTGAGAGAATCCTTTTCTGGCCGCCTCCGGGGTAGATTGGTGAACCAAACACAGCCAGCATGGGACGTCACGTGGCCGAACTTTTGCCTTTGAAAGTATCTGAGACCTGAGGTACCTGAGGTCTCTGGACTCCGCCTCCGCTGTGCAGTCTGTGCGGGTGTATATACGGGGTGCGTAATAGGTCCACACCCCCATCCTCACTGACTTTCCTGTGCCTCTCAGCCAGGTATAACACCTGTCCTTGTCTGTGCCCCGTGTGTTTGCGCACACACATGTGCATCCTGTCCAAAGAAAGCAATAGCAGGGGGTGACAGGGCAGCGGGGGAGGGGGGGACATAAGCCCTCTTCCCCACGAGTACCCAAGATTCTGGGTCACAGACTGGGCCCCTGTGCCTGCATTCTAGCGGCCCCGTGCGCTGCCAGCCCTTCTCAAGAAAGACCCCAGTGGGAGGGCGGCTGGCTGCCTGACGGCGGTACCCCCTGTTCTGCCTCAGTCGGGAGGCTGGAGTATTGGTTCCGGGAGGTGCAGACATGCATGCGCATCGTCTTGGGGGAGAGATCCGTCAGGAGGGGCGGCTGTGGAGCTGGCAGGATCGCGGGTGTGTGGCCCTGCAGTAGCCTGGGCAGGTGGCTCCCACCAGCTCCGAGCCCTCAGCCCGTTCTTGGGTTTTGTGCCCCAGACCAGCCTTTCCTCCCATTTGCTTATCTGTTTGATGCCCTTGCGGCTGTGGGGGATTGAGCCTTCCTGCCCTGCCCTGCCCCGTCCTTCAGTGTCCCCATGTTGGAGCTTGTCCTGCCGAACCTGCTTTCAAAAGCCCTGCCCAGCAAGCCCCAGGGAAGACACCCGAAGGCCTCGTGCTCCCCTCTGCGGGTGTTTCGGGGTCTGACTTTTACGGGGCTGTCCAGGATATCCTTAGCAGAGCTCTTGTTGCTGCTGCCTGTGCATCCCACATGGCCTACGTACCACGCCAAAGCCTTGCTGTTACCCCTCCTGCCTTGGTTTCCCCGGCAGAGCCAAGCTGCCGTGGAACAGAGGGGCCGAGGCATGCATTTAGGTCAGAGGGCCGAGAATCCATCTGGGCAGTTGGGGAAACCCCCAGACCACCACCCAAGGACTCTAAGCCAGAATGGAAAATTCACCAGGACTCCATTCTTGAATGGCTTCTTAAGCCCAGGGGGTCCCCTAGAGAGAGGCATTGTACTGATATATAAATATATATAATATATATGTGAGACATACTGACAGAATCTGTAAGCTAATAAAATATAAGAAAAGGTTAAAAAAAAAGAATAGGTAAATTGACAAGAAGTATTTATTGTTTTCCCATATTGCTTTATCGCCTCCCCGGGCATAAACCAGTTCCCGTCCCTTTTTTTATGTCTAAGTGAAGTCTGAAACGTAGGGGCCCTTTATCCTTGGAGTGGGCAGTGGGGAGGCAATGTGCCTGCTCCATTCCCATGGCCCCCTTATTTTCTGGTAAGCCTGGGGCTCAGCAGTCAGCTCCCAGAGATGAGGGGGAGCTGCCCCCTCACTATGGGCCTGAGCAAGTGTGTGAGCCTGTGGGGGACAAAGGTGTGTGTGGCCGATGTGGGTGATGTGTGTGTCTTTTGCATTTTTTCTCCTCCAAGAAGCTGTATCTGTGTGGACATTCTGTTTCAGGGAGTTGGAAAGGAGAATTGTCTGAAGGTGGGAAGCAGGCCCCCGCTTCCTAAAGGTTGCAACCTTGTACTTGGTGACCGAGGTTCTTCCAAAGTGCTCTTCCTTCTGAGGCGTTCAAGCCAGATACCCAGATATCCCCCCCTATTCCCACCCACCCCAACTCTCTCCCCAGATAGGAGGTATTTCCTGCCCACTTCCTTTGTAAATATCTTAAATCTCCCACTGGACGTGGCCCCAGAGTCTCGCCCCTCCTCGTCTGGATGTCCTCTCCTCACTTGGGGCCAGGTGGAGCGGCAGACCCTTTGGCAGCCAGCCCTGGGCCTTCCACATGCTTTTCCCACCACCTCCCCCCGCCCCAGCAGCCCCCACCTCCCGGGCATGGCCAGCCTGCCCCACTCGGGCCTGAGCCGAGTGTGACCCTGGGAAGGACCAGGGCATCCTGGGAAGCTGATTGGCTCAATCCTCACTCCCTTGCATCCCTCTGGAAGGAGTGGGTTTCAGAAGAATGGTAGGGAAGGGTACCCCAGTCTCCAAGTGGCCCTACCTTTGGGTCAGACACTGGTTGGGAGGACACTGTGGCCCTCCCATGTCTCACAGGTTAGGTCTGTGCACCCCAGCATGCACACACACACACACACACACACACACACAGCACCGCAGTATATTCTTGCCAAAGATTTCCTTTAAGAGAAAGCACTTTTAATCATTATTGTTATTATTGTGTAAATGTCTAGCCTTTTCTCTCCTCCCTCCTCCTCACCCCTGTTTGCTGTTACTGTTGAATCTGTCTGTCAGCCAGGAGAGTGCTGTCTGGTCTTGCAAACAGGCTGGCAGGGCCAGGGTCCGGGGGAAGTTGGCAAGGAGGAGTGGGAGAGGCAGGGTCAGGTTGCAGAGCGGGGGTGCAGACGTCAGGCGGGCTTACGGCCCCCCGCGTTCCAGCCCGGCGTCTGAGGCCGGCTCCGGGGCCTCCCTGGGGCAGGCCCGTGTGGTGTCTGGAGGGAAGAGGGCAGGGAGATGACATGTGTCTGACTCTGGGAGAGGTCCAGCGAGGTGCAGGTGGCTCCACGCCGGTGGACCAGGAGGAGAGGGCAGAGCATGGGAACAATGGAGAGGTGACCCCAGAGGGGAAAGAGGAAGGAAGGGAGCTGTCTGGTCCACCTCCAGGGGTGCCTGGAATGCCCCTGCCCTGCAGTCTTGGCGTCCTGGCCCCCTCATCTAGCCAGCTATCTGAGGGCCACGTACACTGTGACCGAGGTTCGGGATGGGCCTTTGACCTCCATCTTCATCAGAGTCTCTCCCCAGCGGCTCTGAAAACTCATGGAGTCCTTCTCCCTTGGGCTTCGAGGAATCCCTCGGTGTATCAGAGACTGGCAGGATAGGGCCGGTGGGGCCTGGTGGCCGTAAGAGGCGGCAACCAGAGGCACAAGTGTGAGCCTTACAAAGGTGCTCTCAGGAGAGGGAGGAAGGGGACGCCGATGCGCCCGGGCCCAGGTCGGGCAGCCTCTTCCCACCATGCAGGGCATGTGGAGGTGTCTGGAAGCAGAACATCTGTGCTGGACACTTGCCCACCATCCCTGCCTCCCGAGTCTTCCCTCCTTCTTTGAACTTCTCAACTTCAGGCCCTGGGGAGCCCAAGTGGGTCCATACCCTATCCAGGGGCTGCCTACATCCCCTACATCTCCCCACGCTCAGGGTCCTTGGAGAGGTTGGGGGCAGAGTCCCAGAGCCATTCCTCACCCAGGCCCAGGCCCCAGGATCCAGAAACCGGAGCTCCTGGCCAGTGTAACGCAGGACATAGGCGTGCGTGTGCATGCGAGTACAGGAGTCTGTGTGTGCATATTTTGCTGATCTCTTTAGGAAACGTGGGGTTAGGGCCAAAGATAGTGGGTGGGCAATGGGACGCCCAGTTCGATATCACCCAGCAGTGAAAGGAATCAGGAGGGCCCCCGATGGGAGGAATCGCAGTATTGTCAATGGGGACGACTGGCTCCACTGGGTGGGGCTCTGGCAGATCGGCTCCTTCCCGATTTCTCTGTCCTCGGATGACCAGACTGTTGGAGGACTTTTGTGTATGTCCCACACCTGGGCTCTTTCCGGCAGTGAGGTCTTTGCAGACAGATGTCCCAAGTTTGGTTTCTAATCAGTGTTAAGCAGGTTGAGGCTCTCCCGTGTGTCCATGTTTGGTTTGTGTGTGAGAGTGAGCACATCTGTGTGTGCATGCCGTGTTTCCCCATTTTCTCTCCTCCCTCTGACATGCCATTCAGAACAAATGTAAGAGATTCCTCGCCACCACCTCCCCGGCCCCCTGCAGGAGAGACAGAATAACCCAGCGTCCTCCCCACCCCCTGGCTGTGTATTTATATAGATGGAAATATCCTTTCTATTTTGTATCATCGTGCCTATACTCTCTGCCACCTTGTATAAACCCTGACCTGTGCAGCTTACCTGGATACGAATGTATCGTACCCTCATGCCGGCCCCCTCCTGTACAGCTGCTTTCTCTCCTGGCGCCGCATTGTATGGCTTTATACATGATAAAGTGAAAGAAAAATCTCTGCCTTTCTCTAGCTGTGTTCTTTGGGAAGGGGTCTGCCGAGTCTCCGGTGAGCACAAAGGGGGCGCCCTCCAGGCTCTGGATGTGCGGTGGGCTTGAGGGGTGCCTCTCGCACACAGCTCCCCCATGATTCTCCCAGCGGCTTCCCCGCCGTCCAGGTCTTGGTTCTGATTGCCGTGAGAGTTCCGTCTGGACTCTTAAAGCCAGGAGAGAAACTCAAACTGATTTAAAGGGAGGGGGTAAAGGACTGTATCGGCCCCCGTGAACAAGAGGTGAGGCCCCGCGGGATCCGGCAGCTCGAACGGTGGAACCGGGAATTGGTCTCCACCCCCCGGTTCCGGGCTGGCTTAATTTTCAGGCAGGCGGTGTCCTTGGGGTGGCACCAGACGCCCCAGCGTTTGGCCACGAGGTGCTCCCGGCTTGCATCCTCCCAGCCCGGCAGCCCCGTAGAGAGCTCTTTTTCCCCGGTATTTTAAGCAAATATTAAATGCTGGGGCAAGTGCTCTTAGGCGCTGATAGGCCCCGCTTGGGTCCTACGAGCAACTCGGAACCAACCCGTCTACGTGAAGTTGGTTCATGAGACGGCCTCTGGAGGTTTCTGGACCACGGAGACAGGCACTGCATGCCTGCCACGGGCGAGGAATTGTCACGACTAATCTTTCCAACACACCCGGGAGGTAGGTGTCATTACATCGAAGTGACAGAGAAGGAAACCAAGCCTGCGGGAGTTCACCGAGCTTCTAAGGGGCAGAACTGGAGCTTGTCATCACCGGTGACAGCTCGCATCGAGCAACCCTGCTAAGTCCCAGAGACGGTGCGGAGCGCGTATGTGTGTTTTCTCACACACATGCGCCCGGGGACCGTCCTTGTCCTCATCTTACAGGGAAAGAAACAGAGCTTCAGAGATGTCGAGAGATTGCTCAAAATCACAAGACTGGAAATTGGCCGAGCAGGCTGTGAACCCTAAAAGTCCATGCGTCTCTTAGCTCGCACCCCTTCCTTTGCTTAGGGTTTTGTTTATGAGGGAAGGACAGACTCTGATGAGTGAGGGGCAGGCAGGAGCCCCACCTGATGGCATTGGTCAGACAGGGGGGTCCGGGGGCTGGGCAGTCTGGCTGGCTTCCCACAGAGGGGATCAGGGCTCCAGGTGTGTGTGTGTAGGGGGTCACCCTCTGATGCCACCCAGCTGTGGGGTGACGTGGCTACCTTGGGCTGGGCCTGGGCCAGCGGAAGAGAGAAACAGATGAGACTGGCAGGCTGGGGCCTGCGGCTGGGCTCATGCGGCCTGGCTTTGAGGGGCCCCAACAGGGAGGCAGGGTGGAGGCCAGCTGCGCTCCCAGTGTGCCCTGAGGAGGAGGAAGGAGTGAGCGGGCTGCAGCCAGAGGGCTCTGGGGTAGGGACGTGAGTTCTCCTGACACCCCTTATTACACGGGAGACTCTCTTCATTTCTGAGGCAAGTGCGGTCCCTGCAGCGTCAGCCCATCGGCATCGCCCGGGAGCTTATCAGAAAGGCAGAGCCTCTGGCCCCACCCCAGACCAGACTCTCAGGAGACCCCCCAGGAGACCCGCACACGCGCTGAAGTCTGAGCGGCCTGGCGGAGGATCGCCCGGCTGGGTCTCAAACCCAGGGCCTGACATGTGCCGCCTCCGCCCCACCCGAACCATGAGGACCGTGACCGCCCTTGTCTGGGCCTCCGCGGGACACCAGGGGTCCTAGGCTTCCCCTCGCGGCCGGGCCTGCCGGCGGGATCCCACAGTCTCTGTGGCCAGGAGGTGGCGAGAGCTAGGCGGGGGTGAGGCCTGGCGCTGCTGCTCACTCCTCTGGTTGTGGAGGGTGTTTGGGGTGTGGGCTGAGGCCGAAACAGCATCAGGAGGGCAGGAGGGACAAAGGGATGGGGTTGGGGCCAAAGACAAGTTGTCTTTCACTTGGTGTCTCAAACTTGGCTGAAAAGTACTGAAGCCTGGGCGGGTCACACCCTGAAGTTCTGGGTGAATCTAAGGTCCAGGGGGGACGCTGGAACTTTTCATCTCTCTCCTGGGGACTCTATGGACAACTCATGGCCAGAACCACTGTGGAAGACTGTTGTGCACATGGAATCCTCTGTGGCAGGTGTGTGTGCTCACACACAGACGCACACGCCTTGGGGAACGGTCTGGAGGAGGGGCAGGGGAGGAAGAAGTCCCCTCTGGATTGGCTTGGGTGTCCGCATGGCCCCCTTCCCCATGTGCCCCCTCAGGAGCTGAGCCTAGTGTCCCTCCTTCTGCATCTGGGGGGGTCCTAGCTCTGACCCGCCTGAGCCAGGGCTCTTTGAGGAAGGAGAAGCTGTCTTTGTCCCCCTGGGGCCATGCGCAGGCCTTCTAGATGTCGGTGGAAGGGTAGGGTCTGGGAAATCCAGCTCCAGCAGCTCTGAAATTTCTCCTCTTGGGCATTAAATTCTGCCTTCCTCTTTTAGAGACCTGGATTTTCCTCATTCACTGGTGAAGATGACTAATGATTAGTCTCAGCAGTTTGTAAGCAAGTCAAATTATGGAAAGGATACAGCTGGTTCTAAACAATGGACGGCAGGTGGAGGATCAAATGCACCTGTATGCATGCGGGGGACACACACACACACACACACACACACACACACACACACACCCTCTAGCCCGCCCGGCTGTACTGTATCTCCACGGAGACATGTCCTTTGCTCCCGCCTTGCGGCCGACATCCTGGTGGGGAGACTCAGTCCCAGGGGGCGTCAAGCCGGCAATGGGGCAGGGCGGCTCCCACAGCGAGCTGACCCCCGGCTGCGCTCATCAGCAGAGTGGCACAATCAGAGGCGAGGGAGAGCACCCGCCCCCAGAGTTCTGCTGGTCAGGCCCGGGGCCTGGGGCACGGTGGACGCAGGACGTGGGCAGGCGGGAGTCGGGGGGCAAGGGCCGGTGGGCTGCAGCACGAGGAGCCTAAGGACTGGGACAGCTCTGCTTGGAGACGCGGAGGCGTGGCGAGGCTGAGATGCTGGCTATGCCGTGTCCTGTGGCCTTCCGTGGACAAGGGAGCCCACACTCTCTGGGCGCCACACCGTCCTCGGCAAGCGCTGCGGGGAGCCCCGAGTGGAGAGGAGCTACTGGAAAGTGTGCTCTGGGACCAGTGAGCCCCTGTCCCTGCAGATGCTGGAGTGAGGACTGCCTCCATCCCGGGTGTGGCTGCAGGCACAGCCTAGGGAAGGCCCCCCTTCCAGCCTGAGCCGGGACCAGAGATGAGCCTCGTCAGCTGTGACCTGCCTTGGGAGCGCTGGCCTCTGACCCAGGCACAGCTGGTTTGGCTCTGGCTTTGCTAGGGCCTCAGGAAAGCTTTGTCCTTCCTGGGCCTTAATTTCCTCATCTGGAAAATGGGAGAACGCTGACCCCAGAGGCGGGGTGTGCAGATGGACCGCAGTGTACTGCGCTCTGGGGCCTTAAGGAATATGCACCCCCCGTCCTCTTCTTGTGCCTCTTGCCTCCTCCCCACCATTTCTCAGGCCTCTGGGGGGACTTGGCAGCAGAACAGACTTGTAGCTGAAAGCCTCCCTAACGATATTGATCTAGCCGGCTCCTGACTCCAGACCACACGCTTGGGGTGGGGGTGGTACGGCCGCCTCTGTGGCTCCAGCTTTTATGGGGTTTAAAGATCATCTCTGGCCTTCGAGACAGGATGTCTAGATTCTGGACCCCTCCTCTCAGCCCCTTCCCGTTCCCTGACTTCCGGGTTGGTCCTGGGAAACCAGGGGGCGCCCATAAGTTCACAGCCTCCTTGCCTCCCCTCAGCCTCCTAATCTGCATGAGCAGGACCCGACCTGGAGCACCACCGCCCCGTCCTCACGGGACTCAGGCTGGTTGGGGACATCAGGAGCAGAGGCTGTGTGGGCCAGGGGTCCTGGAGGAGGGCAGGAGACCACCAGGGAGCGATGGAGAAAACCTCACAGACGTGGTGCTCTAGAGCTGGTGGAGAACTCGGGGCTCCCTGGCGGTAAGTCAATCAGCCGGTGAATTCACCTGAGATGCAGTGAGCACCTACTATGTGCAGGCATTGTAATAGGCACTGAGCGCTACTGGTGTGTTTGTTTCCCTTGCAGCATTCTGGGTCTAAAGACAGCACGGAAGGGAGAGTGGGGAAAACGTAAAGAAGCAGCCAATATGTAATTACGGTATGATAGGTGCCCTGGAGGACAGGCACATCATACAGCAAGAGTTCGTAAATGGATCCCGATGGTCTGGGGAGAGCAGAGAAGGTGTCCCCTAGGAAGTGACTCTTTCCAAATGTTAGAGTCCACAGAGTGAACAGGAGTCGACTGGGTAAAAAGGAGAGAAAAGGTATTTCAGGCAGAGGGAACAGCACGTGCCAAGGTCCAGGGGCAGGAGGGGCATAGCCTGCTTGAACCTCAGGTGCCTCCCCAGGGTGGCGTGTTTTACAGTGTTAATTTCACATTCAGTTGCAGGCCAGAGAGAAAAGAGGCTAATGCAGAGGCTGTGGGGTCAGGGTTAAAATGCTGCGTCATTCCTATTAGCTGTATGACCCTGAGCACGTTGTTTGACCTTGCTATGCTTCTGTTTCCACCTGTGGCAATGTGGGATGGTAATGGTGGTCTCTGACTCAAGGGGTTGTTGTAGCAATTGAGAGTCTCTATCTGTACAAACATTTTGGGGCAGCACTTTTAGTAAATGCTTGATAAATGTCAGCTATGTTTATTATCTACTTATTTGATCCCCCCCCCTCCCAATTAGACAATTAAGTCCTTAAGAGCAAGGACCCAGGTCTGTACCTGAAGCCTCAGCACAGTGTCCGGCATGTGGGAGGCCCTCTATCAATGTTTGTAGAAGGAGTGAGTTAACCGCAAGGTCATTGTCGCCAGAGGGAGCTGGTGGGGGCTGGGGGGAGTCAGGAGGTTGGACTAGAGACGATGGGTGAGTTTGGCAGGCGCCTTTGGTCATGTGAAGGGCTTGGTGTTTGTCGTAAGAGCAGTGGATGTTTTTGAAAAG